CCGATTCTCCTTCGATGATAATAATATCCTCGACTAATTTGCCTCCTATTTCTGGTGGAACTAAAAATTATTTATAGGATCTAAGATCTAAGAAAGAATTGTTCTTTTCTGACCCAAGCGATATATGGAACTTGCCAAGGACATTGAGAAGAAACTCTCGGCTAGCTTCACCAGCGCTATTTTTGGCCAGACAGGTATAAGTCGCTTCATTGTCCTTTTCCACATTAACCATGACAAGTCGATTCCTATCAAGCGAGATCTGCGTATTCACATCATCTGTCTAAATTTTTTTTTATTTCAGTTGTTAAACGAATTGAAATTCATCGCTTTTTGGTACCTCCAAATATGTAATCCCTTAATCCTTAGTAACACCTAATGGAGTACCATAATTCCACTTATTTATTAGTTATTTTTGCCGGTAAAATGGAATTTTCCTTCAGAATTATATGAGTAGAATTTCATTTCAGAATTATAGAATTATTAATGAATTACTTCCTTTTGAAAAAGTATTGTTTGTTTAAGAATTGTTATTATTTCGTAAAAATAGGAGAATGCCAATTCGCTTTTGTATTCATCAATTTTATGCTTTTCTTATAAATTTTTCTTTTTAAATTTTTCTCGCAATTTTTTATTATCGATTCTATTTTTAAAAAATTTTTTGGAGAATTTGAAAAATTTCCAGCGAATTTTTCTTTCTTAGCCGTTAAAAAATGAAAAATGAGTTCAAAAATCTATTATTTCTTATTTTTAAAATAGAACAAATCTACTAGTTTTTTGCCCTCCTTCAACCATTCAATATCAGTCATGCCAATAGGCGCAACAACTGGGCATTCCATAGTTGCAATGCTACCTCGAATAATATCGAGCACAATTTTATTATCAGAATCTTCAATTTGTGGAGGTGCAATAACCTGCAAAATCAGTTCCATTCTCGATCAAACTTTTGAAAGAAAAAAAAAATTTCAAATTTTCCGTTAAAATTTTTCAATTTGAAGAAATAAGGTCCTAAGGAAAAGAAATGTATGGAATTAGAGAATGGTAATTAGAAATGCAAACGGACTTGAACCATGAATTCTCTTGACACAGATCCTGCTTTATTGCTTGCCAGGCATGCATATCTAGAATCGAAATTAAGATTCATTTAGTTTTATTCTACTAAATGAGTATTGACTGTGTTATATCAAACAAGTTGGTCCAACGTTGCACCATTATCACACCAAGCACCATATTTCAATACTCCTCTGCTTTCAGCAAAAACAATCCTATCAGAAACAGCGGATGGTTCTGGAGATACTCACCCATACTTCTATCTCAGTTATTCTTCAAGCCAGTGAAGCCAGTCTGATAAGCGATGATTAGTGCTCGAAATCCACTGACTAATCCAAACAAATTTCTAACCATAAATTAAATGTAATCATAATTACATTAACGAATTTTAGCCAATAAACAAGCCGTTAATCGATATCAAAATAATAATTTCAAGTATATTTCTCTATTTTTCATGAATAATATTTGATTAGAAGGAATTGCAATCGTCAACAACAAAAAGTTTATTTTTCTCAAAAAGCTCCAATTTTTTGTTTGTTTGCTCATACATAATGAAAGTAAGAATTCATCTAAATGAGACGAGTACCTGTGATTACCAAATGTTTTATGCTGAACCGTAATCAGCTGATCAGCTTCATTGAATGTTGCCTGAGCCTTCAACAGGATGTGTCCGTCCTTAAGCCATCGTATCACTGGTCTTGGATTTCCTTCCACATAACATTCCAATGTTAAAATTCTCCCGCTTATCACTTGTCTATGATTTACATAATCCTTATTGATAAAATTTGGAGGAGCTGAAAAATTTTTTCTTTAAAATCATCAATATTCATTATAATCTCTTGACGGAAAATTTATGTAAAATCTCCGAAGTTCTTTATCAAATCTCCGAAATCCCTTATCAATAATGGAAACCGAATATGAGTGAAATAATTTCATTCATCTAAATGATAAATATTTTGTAACTTAAAATGAATTTAATGAATTCTTTACATTCACCCATAAAAGAAGCGTTTAAGATGCAAATTTCGAATTATTTCAAGCCAAAAGCCAATAATTTGCAATTATAGCGAAATCTATACCATCTAACGTGGAGCAAATTCAAGCATTTAAGCATATTCGAGTGTGGCATATACAATACATTTCATAAATTCTAGCTAAGCTTATAGCTATTACGCACATTAAATTTCACTATGAGAAAATTCATTCATTGTTTATCTCAGTGAAAAAAAATTTATAACTAACCGATAACAGTAAGTTTGAAATTTTTTCTGTTCTCGCCAGCTGTATTCCTCACTAAACATTGATAATTTGCTTCATTTTCCAGTTTAATCGAATTTAAATATAAGCGACGACCATCGAGCACTATCTGTGCATTTGATGGCAGCGACTGAGAACCATTCTAAATATAGATGGCGTGAAGAAATCTGCTGCTGAAGCGTTTCAGCCATTCGGTGCAAATTTATTTATTTAATTGTGCTTCCTTCTTCATAGAGGAAAAGATTGAATGATCTAAAGTGCATCTCTAGAAAATTTTTTTTAAAATATTGTATGGAACTTAATATAGAACACCATTGCAGGAGAACACCCTTTAGCGAAACACCATCAAATGGCCTTTAACATTCAGCATAATGAGCTGTTTCATTCCTATATGGGAAGCTTTTTCATTAAAAGTGAAATCTAGGTGCTGCCAATTTTCATTCTCAGCATTCCATTCCTAATTGGTTCTTGAGTGATCACTAAACCAGGAAATTATAAATTGCGAGTATTATCAGAAGAAGATCAAAAAAAAAAAAGATAAAATACAGCTAGCCAGGTGATCGTTGGCTTAATTCCCTCTTGTTCCACATCACAGTTCAGGCCTAAACCCTTTCCAACGATCGCTTCGATCTCTTCATCATCGCCAACTTTTGGTGGAGCTGAAAGTACCACAACTAGAAATTATATTTCTCGCTTGAATATAACCTCTTCTATAGCTTTCTGTAGGTATTTCGTTGGCAAGAAAAAGTAAATGCTTGTTAATAGGTATACCAATATAAACTAAAAGGATCAGTGACAGTGACTAAGGATTTTGTTTCGATCGTCGTTGGATTTCTTGTTTTCAAATAATTAGGATTAAAAACTAATTAATTTACTAATTAAATAATTAAAAGAAAATTTTTTTAAAAAAAAATCGAACAACGAAAAAAATTCTTTTTATCTAAATTTTACTTATATTTTATTTATATTTTATATTTTTTGAAAAAAAAATTTCAAATATTTCTTTTGTAATTAATTGAAAAAATTTTTATTTACTTAAATTTTTAAAGAATCATTTTATTAATTTGGAAATAAATCGGAAATTTTGTCAATAAATTTACCAAAAAATATTCATAAAAATTTGCAAATAAATCTTTTTTTCTCTTTTCTTTTCCAACAAATAAAATTCTAATCGGATGAATTTTTTATGTTTTTCATTAAATTTTTGCCTTTTCTCTTCACAGAGAATCAATAAAAAAATTTAAAAATTTAGCTTTAATTCATCAATGAAAACTGAAGAGAGAATTTTTTTTTCTATTCCAATTTTAAAATATTTTAAGTCGGAATCATTAAAAATATTTATAATAAAATAAAATGACTCGTGGCAATTTCACTGCAACGAATGGGCGACTTAAGTTGACTGAAACAAAGATCCATTTCGTTGAAACGGAATTTTAACATTACTTTATACGCTATTCACTGAAAAACTGTATCCAATTCTCAATTTTTCATTTCAGCTTGTTTTCGTTTATTTTGTTGGCTTAAATGCCACAATTCAGAAGAAATATGGCCAAGAGGTTTATTATTTAGAATCATAAATCGCTCTTTGCTCCTCGCAGGAATTTCGGTTACTTTTGTTTTATGGATGTTTGCTAAGGCCGATTTGTCGCCACAACTATATGCATTAAATTTAAATAATATTTGCAACAAAATTTTTAATTATTCATTATTTCCAATGCTATTAAATTTTTTTAATATAAATTTTATAAAATATTTGTATTTATCTAAAATATAGAATATATTATTTTGATTGTTATTTATGATCATTTAAACAAATAAAAATTATTTATGATCATTATATATATATATATATATATAAAATCGCTGATAACATAAGTTTACAACTATGATATTGCTGATAACATAAGCATGTAATTTTGATATGGCTGATAATTTGTTGGTTGTATCCAACATGTTATATTGTATTTGTTAATTTATCTGCTACTTCATTTTTCTTCTTGAATTTCTGTCAGATAAAACGAAGTAAATCAGTAAAGTAAGCAGAAATAAACGAAAGAAAATACTTCCCTAGCCAATATCAACAACGCCTCGTTCCGCCCATTTTGTTTTATGGATTTCTATTTAGCTTCTGCCACTCTCCTTATTCCTCGATTTTTTGAAGAGTGATGATAATTTTCAAATGCGCTTAGCGAAGTAGAAATTTACTCTAAGATTTTGGACCTCTATTTTGATATTTTTCCACGTTTTGCTGTCGCATTACAATAGGTAGGCAAGTATAAAAATAAACGGAAATAGGGTATTGAACGAATTTCTTATTTTTGAAATTCTTTTTTTTTATTAAAATTTTAAAATATTAAAGAGATACGGAAAAATATGGGCTTCTTCCATTTTCGTTAGAATGTACTAATGTTCCGTGAAAACTATTGTCCTTTTTTTTTTTTTTTTTTTGCGAATTGATTTTGCCACAAATCGGAAACGAATCGATGGCATATAAGAATATTTATGGAATAGGGAAATATTTTTGCATATATTCTTCTAACATTCTTTTCCTGAAAACTCTTCCTTTTTCCCTTAATGATTTCGGCTTTCACGCGGTGCTTGCAAAGCCCCGCCATCCTTCACGCACATTCGTATTTTTGTTAATATTTAAAAGAGATAAAATGTTTTTTTTTTTTTTTAGATAATAAAGTTAAAACATGACAAAGCCAAATTTTGCGATAACAAAACCAAAGGCGACAGGAATGAACAATGAAGAAGGAGGAGGCGAAAGAGAAATTGGAAAGGAAGAGGAACCACAAACTAACAAAAAAACAGACGTAATTCTCTTAATGAAAATGCTTTTTTGATTATAAATAACAAAAAATAATTGAAGTAAACATTAGTTTATTCTTCGCTAATCCACTTAATTCTTATAAAAAATTGAGAATTTACAGAGATTTATTAGATTTCCGCCTCGTTCATTCGTAATTTTTTCCCACTCAGATATTTCCCAATATTAATTTATTAATCACCCAATGGATTTTTATTTTATTTGCACATTTAACATATTTAATTTATGCTTTCGTTTATTTATTGCCATATTATTTGTATTGCCTTTTTTTTTATTACTTTTGAGCGAAGCGATATCCAAAAATTACTAATCGTATTCGCCCAAACCCTCTTCTTCCTCTTCTAATAGTTCTCACCATTACTGGTTAGGCTGGCTCCAACGGCTACAAGGGTGAGACGTCTCCAAGCTGCTCGGTCCGACGCCATCGCTGGTAATAATAGAAGCCATTCCTTTTTCCATCGTCTAAGTCCATTATCAGTCCAGGTATTGATTGGACGAAATTCTTAGTTGAAGACAGAAAGATTGTCACTAAATGTGAAATATAAATGTGCAAGAGGCATTTCTCGTTCTATCTTCTAATATTCTCAGATGAATATGCTCAATATCCACTTCAGCCAGTATTTCTGGAACAATTGTCTGTGTTATCTGTGGAATTTTTTTTTTTTTGTCTTAACCCTCTTTCTTAATTTCTTCTATCTTTTCTTGCATTTGCCTGAAAAATATGTTTAATTTCCTAATTTTTCTAGCAAAGAAAAATTGAAACCGTTTTAACGGCATTGGAACTAACAAATGAAACGCAAAAAGATAAGTATTTACCAAAAATTGTTGGAATGGATTGGCTGTTTTTATTAAAAGTCGCTAACATACAAGTTATTCTCTCTATTGTAAGTAATTTTTCCAGTTGATTTATAAGGATAAAAAAATTCAATGGACTAAAAAAAAAACAATAAATGCTAAATATTATTTATTATAAAAGCCTAAAATGCTTTTTATACTTGGATTTGTAGGTATTCAAAGGCTAACCAAAAATTAAAAAAAATTAGGTCATCCGGTTAAATTGATTAGGTCAAATTCAAGGTCATTCAAAACTTGGATTTTTCTCTCATTTCACTTATTCACTTCATATTTTTCAAAGATACAATATTTTTGAAGAATCATTCACTCGCAAATCGGCAAAAAAATTTTTAGTCAATAAAGAAGTTTAAAAATTTATATATATATATATGATTTTGAAAAATCTTAAATTTATGAATAATAATATTAATAATGATAATAATGATAATAATAATATTATAATAATAATAATAGTAACAACAATAATAATAATAATAATAGTTGTCAACGTTTGCTTAGCAACGTGACAAGCCAATGTACTTTTCTTATCGCTTTTCATTTCGCAACGATCAGAAAGTAATTTTTTTGAAAATTTGTGCTTAATATCACTAATTATTAACTATTCAACTGTAAAAAGGATTAAATAAATAAACAATGGACAGGAAAAGGGGTCGAGCCATGGTACTTGAACTGATAGTTTAAGCAGTATATAATAACTCAGAAAACCGCTTTTTTACATTTTTTTTTGAAAAAAATTAATTTGCTCGATTTTATCGAAATTAATTGAGATAAAAAAAGAATTATATAAAGCTCGCAGTCGTCAATTAATTTGTCGATAATTATAACTGAGAGACAAATTTAAAAAGTAATGTAAATCAGTTAAAAGTAATGTAAATCAGTCAAACTATAAAAAGTTTTTCAAACGTTAATTTAATTTCTTAGAAATTTCTTAGAAATATAATGGAAAAAACTAAGAAAAGCGTCTTTCATTTAAGAATAGAAAAGAGATAAAAAAAAAAAAAAACTCAAAAAATTCCATATGGCTTCACTAGAAATGATAAGAAAAGTGATAAAGTGGTGATTTGCAGCTATCAGTGGCATGTTTGACTTGTTCCATGCTTCTCACCGGTTTTAACTTCTTTCGTTTTACATCATCCGCATGGACGACCTATCTTCTGTCATGCGCTTACATTGGAATGAGAGCGTATATTTTCGTCGAATTTTAAAAATTTTAAATCCATCATATTTAAATTTTCATTCATAAAATTTTTAATCCTCAAATTTTCGAATCGTTTAAATATTATTTAAAAATTTTATACAGCTTATTGCCAGTTAGATTACCTCAGAAAGTGTGGCTATGTAAATTTTCTGATTTCTCAGATTCATTTTCTCAGAGGTCGATGGCAAAGTTACGCTCATTCGATCGCCTACTGCGGTATGTGCACGTTTCAAACACTCATTTACATGTCAACAATGTGCTGGCTTGTCTATTCGGTTTACGCATTGAATCGAACAAGTGACTATAACTTCGGTATGACCATTTTCTCCTTTCTAAAGTATGCACCGCTGCTCGTTTGAATGACTCCACTGACTGTTCTATAGCGAAATTCATTCTGCAGAGAATCACTTAGGGATGGGAAGGAAATAATTTTAAAAGATGATTTCCAGGTTTTCCAGGTCATATCAACGATTTCATTCTACTCTTAACTTGCGGAGAAGTCCTTTCGATTATGGGAACAGTCGTTACAGGAATTCTCGGTTTAATTGGCTGTTGTCGCGGTTTTGGACGACTCCTTCAAGCACAGGAGGAGATGATTTTGGTAAGTGAACAAAGTAGTATTACGTCGTTTTAATATGAAGAAGCGAAGATTATTGCCATAGCGAAATATTATGAAATTTTTTAAGGAACGTCGACTTTTGCTTCAAAAATACGAGCCAACTACTACTCCTCAACGTTTTCCCATGCATTTATAAATTAAATAAACCAAGATTTGGAGTAAAATTCGATGAACGCTTAGCCGACTAGCAGTGGAACAGAGATATTTACATTTTAATTATTATTCTAACTATAAAATATAAAGTTTTCGATTCATGAAAATGTGAAATAGATTTCCGAATTTATTTACTTTGAGGTGGCGCTAAATTTTAGCAATCATGAGTTTTCGAGAATATTTTACTATTTTCCCTAAGTTTCGTCATGAACTAAGGACGAATCTCATCGCAAAGCAATTTATCGAGATGCATAAATCGAGGCATTTTCCTGAATCCTAAATCCGAAATCGATCGCTCATCCTCGATGCTTTTCATGAACTGAACAAATTTTCGCATTTTCAATCAATCAATCAAAACCATATATTCTATTTTTTTAAAATTTACTTTATGAATTATTATATTTTGCAAGAAAAAAAAAGTATTTGTAGAAGCCTAACTTAATAAAAACCTAAATTATTTATTTTCTATTATCTAATAAATAATATCAATAAAAATTTTAAATCTTTGTACACAAATCTGGAAAAAAATCGAAAAAATAACATCTTAAACGATTTGAAGAGAAAAAACAGAGTGCCGCATACATGTAAAAAACAGCTATAAACAAAAACATCTGAAATGATGAAAATATTGCGAAGAATATAAAAAAGAATAAACATCGATATTCTTAATTGGTTCTATATCGATAAATCATTTCTTTATCACTGATAACTTTTCTCTAAACCTCTTTTAAAGATTTTCTGGAAAGATTTAAGCTCAATTTTAAGAAATGCTTAATTTTTTTTCCATTTTATCAATTTAATCAACTTAGTTGCAATCATCAAATCAATCCATTTTATCCATTCCATTTTATCAACAATTAATAAATTGGAGTAAGAATTTTTCACTTTAATAAAGGTCAGTAAGGCAAAATCTCGATTTTAAAACTTGGAGAATCGTAATTTAGAAGTCGCTCATGCAAAACAAAACTATCATGGAGGACCACAGTCATTCGAGCTGAGAAGTATTCTATTATTAAATAAATATTAGATAATTTCGTTTGCAGACCACCTCATATTTTTTGTGTGGCTTCGCAATATTGGCAAATAATTTCGTAATAAATAAGGAATGTTGGGACCAATCGAAGAAAACGCCAAAAAGTTCGTTCGTATTAGCTAAAGTGCATCATCCCTCATATAATTATTTCTAATCGTTTTTCTGACTAATGTTGGCGATTGAAAATCCCTTTTTCATGCAATTTTTCCATTACTTTTCTCCTCCTCTTCCATGTATTTATTTCTTAGTAACAAAATTTCAAAATGAACATTTTGCATGTTTTTCTCATTTGCTCATTTTCGCTTATTAGGAAATTATTTACAAACGACGAAGCAATTGCAATGAAGTGATCTGCAAATAATAATCGAAAATAATCTATAAATATTAAATAAAAAAGGAAGAAAATTTTGTAAATATTCTCGAAAAAAATAGAAAATAAATGAAAAAATTGAGAATAAATGAAAAATTGAAAGCTTAAAAATTAAAGAGCAATTCTTATTAAAATATAATTTTGTGAATTTTATTGAAGAAAATTTTTATATGCAAACAAACCCAATACGATCAACTGTACATCAATATCGAGGCTTCCGGCTTTGTTATTCGCCACGCAAGTATAAATACCTTCGTTTTCCAATTGTGCCGAATCGATTATTACCTAAATCCGGAATTATATTTTTAAAAAGAATTAGAATGTCGCAGGATAAAGCTGAGGAAGGAACCGCATTACATCACTAACGGTAATAACTTACTGATTTTCCTGACGATGACAACGTAACGCCTTGTTTGGTTTCACCATCTTTTAACAGTTGTCCATTCATTAACCACGAGATATTAGGAAGTGGTGAGCCGGTCACAGGGCAACCGATATCAACTCGATCACTCTCGCGAACCGTTAATTTGCGCTTGTTTGTTAATTCATTCAGATGTGGTGGTACTTTAAAAATATGCAAGTAATAGTGGTTGAATTAATTCGAAATAAAGGCTGTTAAGAAATTCTAACAAATAACCCTCTCAAATCCGCAAAATATTGAAAAATATCCATCAAATATCCATTTACCTAATATCTCAACTTCGAATATTTTCGATGCTTCACCAGCTGGATTCCTCGCGGTGCATTTATAATATCCAGCATCTGTGATTCTTGATTTCAACACATGTAAGCGTCGCTTATCATCAGAAAGCACAATATTATAGTCATCTTCTACTAATGGTCGATCATTAAGGTGCCATGTAATCTACAAAAGTACTTTGCTTTCAAGTACATAATCACTAAAATAAACGAGATAAACTGGTGCTACGTAAAGTGCACATTTCCTTGAAGCACAATGCTCGCTCCTCATGATCATATTTTAGATACATATAATAAGACACATGGAAAAGTAAAATATCCGTGAAATCTACATTGATGAGAAAAGCAGGGCGAATATTATTATTGCTTGTTATCTGTATTAATAACTGAAAAAAACGCTAAATTTAAGGTAAAAGAAATGAGGGTTTATTCCTAGACAGTTTCCCACCGGCTGAAATCTAACTGCCAACCTTAAAGAGCATTAAAAGTTTCTACACAATTTTTAACCAATTTAATACGAAAAAAGAAATTTTTCTAGTGTCATTCATTTTATTAACTTGATATTAACCTGAGGAATCGGATTAGAAAACACTGGACAATATAAACTGAATGGTTGACCAACGATAGCTGTCTCAGTAAGTGGCACATCTGGATCCGGTATATCTGGAGGCGCTGCAAACCACTATTATGGAACTTTACTCGACTTAGAAATATTTAAAGATATTTAGATATTTAAAGATATATCTATAAAGATATTTTCTGCAACAAATTTTAGAAATTTATATTATGTCGAATTGAAGAATAAATAGTTGATTAACAAACTTATAACACTAAGTCGAATAATTTTCTCCGCATCCCCTGCAGCATTATTCGCTCGACAAGTATAATGACCAGCGTCATCATCCGTAACGCTATCAATGACAAGTGTCCCATCTAAAAGCACTTCGTTAAATCGTAAATAAACTGAGTATTAGATTCGATGCTATATATTCGGTTGCTTCGATTAAATCATCTTCAGTGGACTTTCAATGTTTATAATAAAAGATTTTAGTAAAATAACCTATTTCATTCACTTAATAAAGTCCGTCCCTTCAAAATTCAGAATGGTTCACCTTCAGTGGTATGTAATCCAACACTGGTTTCGGTTATCGTTAAACCTTTCCGGGTCCAAATAATAACTGGTGGAGGATTTCCAGTAGCGAAGCATCTCATCTCAATTCTATCATCCACAACGGTTGTGTATTCTGATAATGTCGTTGGTAATATTTTTGGAGGTTCTAAAATGGTCAATTATTATAAATAATAAATTTTTTCAATAAATTAATTAATAAATAATAAGTGTTAATAAATAAAATAATAAGTGTTATTACAATAAATAAATAACCTTGTACTACAACAATCGTTTTTCGAGTATCTTTACCAGCTGGATTGCTTGCCAAACAGTGGTAAATGCCACTGTGAATCAGTTGAGTATTATCAATTCGCAAAGTGCCAAACGAGTCGATTTGATAAATATCACCGGAGATCACCTAAATTTTCTTGTATGAATTCTTGCTCAGTTAAAAGTAGAACTCTGAAAGTATCGTGATACTTATTTCTTAATAGAACTTTAGAATATAACCTGGAATCCATCTTTCTCCCATGTAATCTCTGGATCAGGTGTGCCAATAGCACGACAAGGAATTTCAAGCATAAGGCCAAGTACGACATCAATTGTACCAGGAATATCAGATATGATGATGGGTGGTTCACGAATTTTTAATAAGTATGCAATGTGATCATCACCAGCGAGATTAGATACATGACATGTATATCTTCCAGTATGGTGCATTTGTGGCGTAACAATTTCAAGCCCACCTTCATTTTCAAACCGGATTTCCTATTTAAAAAGCAAAAATAGAAATATTATTAATATTTATAATTTAATTTTAGATGGCTTTCATAGTAATATAGGATACTTAAAACCGAATAAAACTTTTTGGGAGCATTACCGATCCATAGTTATATCCTGAAAATATACGGTCGCCTTCATAGCTCCATGTTCGGGTAGGTGGAGGTGTTGCTCTTGCAGGACACGGTAAAATTACAGTTTCATTGACATTCGCCACAATTATTTTCAACTGAATTTTTAAATTTTTAATAATGATTAAACTGCGTTCATGCATAATTGCTAAATTTATCGAATTTCAATAATTACGGATGAAAATTTTGTCGAAAAAATTAGAAAGATTTTAACTTGTCCGGATCCCTCAATAGTGGGCGCTGTATGCACGGTTACTGTTACAACTCGTTCATCTTTTCCAATACTATTTTCAGCTAAACACTTGAATTGACCCCGGTGAAATTCATTTGTATTTTCAATAGTTAGAGATCCGTCTGAATCAATGGTTCCTTCAGTGAATATTTCATCGTTGAGGTACCTTAAAGCCGATTATGAATGGAATTCTTCCACAATTTTTATAGTGCTTCGGCTTAGAGAAAGAGTAAGAGGTTTGCTTTTTGCCTTTTGACTGCATTATTAGCACTAAAAGTGTAATTTCCGTGATGGGCCCACCTGACTATCATCTGAAAACTTTAATTAAGATCTCGACCCAATTGGGTATTATTTAAAGAAAATGAAAGTTATTAACCATGTAACATTAGGCTCTGGTTCTCCTTCAACATCGCAAGTGAGCATGACTGGGTTTCCTTGGATTAAATTGTATGAAACTTGCCCGGGAGCTATTACAGGAGCGCTTAGAACATTTAGCCCAAGAGATACTTCGATGTCGCCAGCGATATTTGATGCCTTACAAACATATTTTCCTGCATCATCCAGGCTTGCTGAATAAATTCGCAATGCATTGTTTGGCTGAAACCATGAGTACGTACATATTTATAAGCCTCCACATTTAAGTTTCATTTAATTGAGCCCTAAAGTTAAAGGGTGCAAGATTAGATGATTAGAAAAGCAGAATGGTTGTTGTAGCTCAGATTCCATCAAATCGCCTTCTTCTAACCAGGTTAAACCCTGTCTTTAAAAATCCGGATGGTACCGTGGAAAGTGTAGTTATTCTCTATTGGCTGCCTGATAAAAATATCTCATGGCATCAATAGTTCGTGGATGAATAACGTGGAAAACTAGGCGTTAACCACTTAACAAGTAAAACAACGAATGCGCTTAAATTTCCAAATTAGCATAGGACTTACTTAGTGCTTGGTCTTTCCGATAAAAAAAAAAGCAATTTGTCTTGACCATAAATAAAGAAATATTTTGCGAATTGCAAGATTTGAGGTTATTTTAGAAATTTATTTTTTTAAAAATTATTGTGAAAATTTATAATTTAAATATAACCAGAATGACATAATCTGTCCCGACAGAGCTCAATGGTCGATCTTCATAAGTCCATGTAACCTTTGGCTCCGGAATACCAGAAGTAGCGCAAGGAATATCAACAGTTTCTCCAGCTGACACAGTAAACTCTTGTGTTCCGCTTTCCTCGATAATTGGCCTTTCTAAAAGGTACAATAAACAACAACATAGCTTCATGCAAAATACCATGACACACGCATGACAACGAAATGCAAATTCAAATAATATTGCACGATTGGACTTATAATAATATAAGATAGATTTTCCCGTTGCCTTTTAGTGCAAGTCTATAAATATATTTGAAAAATATAAATGAATCATCTGAATTCTTTTTAATCATGATATACCTTTCTCTTATCAGCAATATAAGAAGCATGATTGGAAGGATTCTGCTACTTCGATGCATGCATGTCTAGCAGCATTAATGGTTGAATGACGCTATAGATTTAAGAGCATTTATGCTAAAGTGGTTTCACTGTCATGCAAACATGCAATATGACGCATAATAAAATTTCTTCTTTAGGGAAAATATAAAAAGGTTGACAATGAGGTACCAGAGACAATATAACAAATTTGTCAGTTAGAGATGGCCAGCAACTAACTAATAAGTTGTACATTGACATTGAGAGTCGCATTGCCGGCAGGACTCTTTGCTACACAAGTGTATCGTCCCTCATCTTTTTTGCTACCATTTTTTATTAAGAGTGAACTTCCACCACTTTCTATCTGAAAAAAAGTCATTCACATTGGTATCGAACGTTTCAACGTTTTGGTTTCTCTAGGCCACATTGAATGAAGAAGAATTGTTGTCGCATACAAAATGCATAATAATAGAAAATATGAAAAGCGAAAAAAAAAAAAAAACATCTTTTGCTATTTTTATTGCAAAATTAAAGGAAATACGGTAACCTGCTTTCCTGAGGACAAATACGTCAATGTCTGTTTCAGTGGAAATAGTTGCAGATCTTAGTTTATAATGGACTGAATTACTGGGGTCGTATACACTAATTTAATACTATTAAATTTCGCAAAAATATTTAGTAGATTTAAAATTTTTAAGAAGCGAACCATAATGGAATCAGATGCTTGCACTGGAACGGCATCTTTGTACCACTGAAGAATTGGCTTCGGTGTGCCAAGCACCACTATACATGAAAGTCGCAATGACTCACCTTCTATGATTTGCTCTTCAGGTGGTGCGTGACCGAGCACTGGACTTACTGAAATTTTAAGGATAAAGAATATAAGCTAAAAATGATTCGTTTCCTATACTTTTTAACTTTTTTCGAAGCAAATTGCTTCCTTAAAACTTTAAAATGAGTTAAAAATCACTCAGCCCAACGACCATTAACACGGTTGTCTTGTCTTGTCGACCAAATGTGTTTTTCGCTACACATGTGTAACGATCTTGGTCTTCGAGCGATACCTCTAGAAACGAACAATTTTATCATTGCCATTGGTGAATGACATAAAACAAGAGCTTAAACCAAAAATTACTTAAAAAAGCGATTACTTTTAATTAAAAGACTTCCATCGGGTAGGACTGCGAAATGTCCACCAGTTTGGTCAATCGGTAAATTGTTACGATACCAAGTGATTTTTGGTAGTGGATGACCAATTGCACGACACTGTAATGTTATAGAACGATCAATATTGACATGAACTGCTTCTGGCGTTGGTACAATAGTTGGCATACCTGTGTATTAAGTTAGTTCAAAAATAATAGCTATAGAGATATGAATTTGAAGGAAAACAATCCATGTGAATGAATGAATTTTTTTTCTAAAAAAAAGCATCATTCAAATATCTTTAAAGCATTTTAAAAGTTTTGCTTCTTCAACAATTTGTTTTCGATCCTATAAATGAATTCTATCTTTTATGAATCAAAAACGACAGCCATTGAATTTGTTGTCTCACTTCCAACTTCCAAATTCATATTTCCCACATCGCGTCCAGCAATATTTTGTGCGACACAAACATAATGTCCAGCATCAGAATCTTGAACTCCCTGAAACTTTTACACTCATCTAACTACTTCCATTTAAATTGCTAATGAAATTAAAAATTACTTATGTAATTTTTAATTTTAATTAAGAATTAAAAATTTTTTTGATTAACTTTTTTGTTCGAGACAGAGGTTAACAACAAACAGGATGAAAACCTGGATTGTGAGAGTACCATCGTCGATATGTATATAGCGATAAGGTTGTACTTCTCGGCCATTACGATACCACACGATTTTTGGCCGTGGATTACCTCCACTTATCTGAACGTACGGTCTTTATTCATATCGTTAAAAAATATGTCATTTTTTCCATATTATTTGGCAGTTATTTTAATAAAAACATATTAAAAATAAAAATAAAAAATATATTTCATATATTCAAAAAAGATACAGTGATTTTTACTGTAATTTAATCTTCTAATCAAATAAAACTTTGTGGAAAGAAAAGAAACAAAATTTTCTCACCAAACATTCGAGGGTAACTCGACCACCTCGCCCAATCATTTGTTTGTCCTTAGTCACTCTCACTTTTGGAGGAACTAAAAGCATATTTTTATTAAAAATATTGTAAATAAAAACTGGATTAAATTCCATTTAAGATTGAAAATCTATCATATTAAAGAACGAAATCTCTCACATTATGCATGTGTTAACGAGAAAATCAAGCACTTATTCAGAGTGCCAGCTTATTTTAAGCTAACACTGATTTAAGGCATGAAAAAAATCTCATGCTTAATTGATATGAAAATAAAGATGAATGAAAAAAATTCACCAGCCATGACAGCGATCGAATTATCCAAATGTGTTCCAGCATTATTTCTTGCAAGGCATTCATAAGTGCCAGCATCAATCTCACTTGCATGAAGGACAACCAAATCATCTAAAGAAGGAATAAAAGGTGATTTCAAAAGTGAGTAAAACCTGGGTGAATAATGTTTTCCTAATGTTTTCCTTTTGTCCATTAAAAAGTATTATTCTCATTTCTTCTTCTGACAACACTGGTCATCGTATTATCCCTAATTGGGCATCCACAGTGAATACTTGGCAAAGTAAGGATAAGGAGCATTCTTCCAGGTAGTTTGGGATGATACCTGAGTTATTCTCACCCCCATGTTTTATTCTTATTTTTAAAATGCAAATTTTAAATTTAAGTGAGAAATTTAATATTTTTAAAAAAATCAAAATAACCGACATTTATAGGTGATATAGTATTTGTAATGATCTGCTTTGATTTGTTGCCTTTCAAATAGCCATTCTATGTTCGGTTTCGGATCACCTGTAGGTGATAATAAATTACGAACTTCATATTATTTCATATTTTTTTAAATTACCTGTCGCTTCACATGACAAATTAAATGATTCTCCATTTACGAAGAACAGCGATTTTGGATAAACAGTTGCTGTCGGCATTTGTAAGACTTTTAGCGATGCAACAGCGTCCACGCGTCCTCCGTTCGTTTGAACAATACAACGGTATAATCCAGCATCAAGCGTATCTACTGATTTGATTAAGAGTGTACCATTTGGGAAGAGACGCTGAATATGAATTATTTAATAATAATGTCACAAAATATAAACAATGAAGTCTGGGAATTGACGAACATCAATTTCTTTTATTCATAAAAAGACCTTCATTTCGGCCTTCTTTTATATTTTACTTCTTCAGCATAGTGGATAGGTGTTTTGAAACTTCAGCTTGAAACTTAATATTATCCTTGATGATACTGATAAGGAAATTAGGGATTAAAAAGAAGCCATGTGGACCGTTTTATCCGTGTTTCCAACAAGTGAGTTCTCACGCATCCATCGTATGGTAGCATGAGGATTTTGTGTTCGACAGTGAAGATAACCATAACCACCTTGTACAACCGACTCATTCCGCATAGCTATGATTTCTGGTACTGGCTCTTTAAATATTTTATGTATTATTAGGCGTAATATACATAGAAATACGTAAAAAAAAAAAAATTAAAAAATGAATAATATTTCGAAATGAGTGAAAATATTAAATATCATAAAACATTAGGGTTGCGGGAATTTTAAGAACATAATAAAATTAAATCGTGAAACAATTTTTTCGAGGCTCTAAATATCGAAAAATTAGGAAAAATTTGGCTTATTAAGAAACAACCTCTGGCTTCAAGAAATGTAGCCACTGAATAATTGCCATAGTCACTTATAACCACACAACGATATTCTCCCTGATCGTCAGCTGCCACTTCATCTATTGTCCATACAGTAGTAACAGAATATCTGAAATTCTTAACCACCTATTATTAGGTTCATCCAACAGCGACCAACCAGTGAGCTTTGGAAAGCAAATGCGATTCGATTTCATTTTCGGCATTAAAAACTTAATAAACCAATGTTTAAATCTATAATGGAGACTTGAACTGTTGCATTCATCAGTTTATAAATTTATGCATTTTGATACTAAACCGTTGGTTAAATAGAGTTCTAAGAACAGCAAAAAATAAGCTTTTCGTATTTGAGGACAGTTTTCAAGATTTTCAAGAAGGCAAAATCAGCATTTTTGTATATTTGCGACTCCATATTCAGTCGACACAACTATATTAATTTTCAGATGCAATGCGTCGAGTAGGAAAAATTTGATCATTTTGCTTTACCGGATTTTGATAATTTTCATAAATGAGAGAAAAATCCTTCGCTTCACAAATCCTTCTATTCTTTATTCATGTCTTTACCACGTTTTTAGCAGCATTTGTAAAAAATATTTCTAATTCATAGACAAACAACAGCTATGCTAGTTTCACAAAACCGAATATTACACTAGTTTTATGCTCTCTTTTCTTTTGATTTTAACCCATTTTAACCCATTTTCCCTACTTTTTACACTTAATTATACTATATATTTCGTGTGTAGCCGAGGCAATTCTTCTTCACTCACGGTCCAGCGAAGCCAAAAGTCTAAACACCCTCTGCCTATATCTTTGTGATTGTTTATCCATTTCTATTCTATTACGTCAATATGCCTTTAGTCCAAGAATCCTTTTTTTTCTTATCTAATATTAAAGAATATTAATATTAATGAAAAAAGGACTCACGGATAAAACAGTGGACCAGCGATTTTCACATTGCCCTTAAACCAGTACAGCATAAATTCCGTCCGAGAAGCGACTGAGCAAGTGAGATTTACAGGTTGCGATAAAGTGGTTCGAGTGCGTTCAGCCATGTAGGCTCTGCAACAATCTCCCTTCTTTGATTATATTCATTATTTTTATTGGATTTGACATGGATGATCATATGCTAAACTTATTTTAACCTTTATTTACTATAAATGGACAAATGGAATTTCGGTATTTGCATGGCTTTTTACAGAAATATTGAAGTTATCCAAATATAACCTTGGACCAGCGGCTTGAACTGCAGAGATAGCTGTTGGTGCAATTCGCTGGAACTGTAACCCTTTCTCATCTTCGCCTATGATTCGAACGAAAAAGAGCCCTTTCGGTGGAATGAATGGACCAATATGATAAAGATAAGGATTTTTTTTATAGAGGATCGCTGGTTTCGACAAGAATTCTTTACCATAATAATCGACGAGAGTTACTTCTCGTGCAATGCCAGGTGGTATTAGACCAGTCATATTTATTACCAAATAAGTATTCTCCTGCGCTATTGGACGAGGATGTGTCTATAATAAAAATTTGTTAAAGCCATTTTTAACTTTACTGCATAACTTTATCTAAACCAGTAGCAAGTTTTTCTCATGGCCATTTATTCAGTTATTAAGACTATTTGTATTTTTTACTATATCAAAAATTCGCAATTTAAAAATATTAATTTACAGGATTCTGTTCAAATTTAAATAATTAATTTAGTGTGAATTTTTATAAATTATAATCGTCAAATCCTCATGGATATTTCTTTTTGTTGTAATTTTTTCCTTGGAAAATAGATATTCAGCAACTCATCGAGTGAATCTTTCAAAAATCCAGGTGATTTCGGTGACTCATCTGTATTTCTACTGCAAGTACTTCCCTAACAAAATCCCTAACAAAAGTTGCGTGACCCAACGGAACGACGAGAAATGGTGAACGCTCTTGGAAGGAAGGAAAAATTCATCGATTAACTATCAAAAAAGAATTATTTCTACTGAATTTTCTGCATTTTTTTTTCATAAATAACAAAAGACTTTTTCGAAGAAGGCTTGCCTACTTGCTCAATTCCTCCGACATGTTTTGAAGCGAAACCGTATTTGAAATCAATAGCACCATGACCGAGAATCCTCAGGGTGTGCCTTAAGCGACTCGACGTCCGAACTTTCCATATGCCAGGCACAGGATTTTTTATTCGTATTAATTTTATGTTATTCAAGTCTATTGTACCACTTTCATTTGAAAATTGTTGCTTGTCCACCTTTTTACCTATATGGAAAGAAAAAAAAATTAGCAATTTGAAATTACAAAAGATGCGATCTGAAAATAGGCTTGTGCCAAGTTCTCTTTAAACTGTACTTTGCTATCATCCTTTTCACTTTGGTTACTAACCCATTTTCATTATATTTGTTATTTTTGACGTATTTTAACTCATAGCTTTTAGGCCCACTTAATTAGATTTTCAAAAATGGCTAAAAATCCTTTTAAAAAAAATATAAATCTTACAAATATACCTTCAGAATCGATAATACTTATATCAAGAAATTCATTATCATCCTTATCACCAGACAGTGATAAAGTAAGCTCACTTAAATATGAATCAACTGGGATTTGATGAAGATTGGAACCACCACGTTCATGAACTTCATATAATATATGCACCTGAAAATCGCTTTTTTTTTCATTTAGATGAAGAGAAGATTCATTCAAATTCAGCCATATCCACTTGCTTGCACTAATAACGACAACATAGAACTTTAGGTGCTAAGAAAAATAAAAAGACGGATGAGAACAAACTTTTTTTTGAGCTATTGAGTGACGGACATAACTAAGAACTTTATTGACATCCGTTTTCTCTAAGTGAAAAACTTGACCAAAGCTAGCTGCAGCTATCTTTTCGTAAGTTTTAAATCCCGGATGAGTTCGATCGTTACAATCACCTGTCATCACGAATACAACCTATGAACAATTAATCGGTGAATTTATGCATTCAGTGGTAAATTTTACAAGGTATAACAAAAAAGATACTGAGCTTTGCTTTTCCTGAATAAGGTTTAAAATTTGATCCTCCAAATGGTAGTCCTTGGCGCGAGCATCAGTAAACACATAAATGAACGATGATGGCAGTGCTGTCTCCAGAGCCAGTTGAATTCCTCAAAATTTTACTCGATGCATTTCTTTTTTTTAAAGAGTCTTCACCATTACTGGATAAACTCGCTTCACTAGCTTATTACATTGGGCAATATGCCAGGGAATATGTCCTTTAGTGATAGAAATACATGTGAGTCGCCAGCATTATCCGGATTTTTGGACAGGTTTATTCCTGCGGGGAATCGAATCTCAGCATTGGCGCTCCAAACTGAGCAATAATCTACTTGGCAATTCTATCCCCACTAGATGCATATTAGAACTGATCGTTTACCTTAAAATAAAAAATGATAGATTTTTTACCGCTGAGAGTCATTTCAGGACAATCTCCACCACCAACGACATTGACTGAATTTAAATGCCTTTGAAATGCATATGAATCTGTCGTTGAGAAGACTGGCCCAATATCTATAACAAATATGGAATGATTAAAGAGATGGTCAACTTCGCAAAATCAAATTCCTATTCATGGTTAAACTGTGGCTCGCGAGCCTCATGCAACCCACTTGTAATAAGCGGTGATTCAACTTTTGATTGTAATGACATGTGATAAACTGATAAAAAATTGCATGTTATTTTGAGGCCTATTTTTAATTCTTGGCAATAAAATTTTCGAAATTTTGCATTTTTATTTCTTTACTCCCCTACCCCCCTCGTTCCTTCCCTACCACAAAGCAAGTGTATGCATATAATAAATAAATTTTTAATCAGTATCTTATCTCGATTTTTGTGTTTTGCACAATAAATTTACGCGAAATTAATAAAAATTATATTCGGTTTCGTTTAAAACTCTGTGAAACCTAGTTGGATCTCTTAAATATTTCTAAATCTCAGCACGAGGTTCTTGCTGGCATAAAATTTGGCCACCTCCAGTATATTACTTTTTGTTTTGTCTTAAACTTCTTTACATTTGTATAAAACCAGCGAAAACTCCATTTTTCCATGCAATATCTACCATACTTCTTTAACATCCGAAGTAGTGGCTCTCTGTTATTTCTTTATTTTTTATCCTAAATTTTCGAAATTTTTACGAATATTTTAAAAATTTTCTATAAAAATTCGCTTAGTTAGATTATTCGATAACGAGAATCAAATTTCAGTATTTCAGTCGATCAAATTTCAAAAATCATTCTGAAATTTATCTCATCGTCGCATTTAAACGAACAGTTGTAATGTGCTCTGCTCGATTTTGAGTTTTGTTCACCGAATTTTCAGCCAATGCAACATTAATTGAATATTATCGGTTATCGAATAGTATAAAAATTAGAGCTTTTAGAGCAGTTTTGCATTTTAAATTCATAAAAATTTTTCATTAATGGCAGAATTTTGGAGAATTTCACCATTTCTGGCTTGGTTCACTTCTTTTGGTTGCTAGGACGATACTCGGTCAGCACGAAATTATTTCGAGAGAGAAACACGAGTAGATCATCCGCATAAATTAAATTTGTATTGTTCGATTAAAAAGTATCAACTGAATCTCATTTTTAATGTTTTAAATATTCAAAAAAATATTTATTTATCAGCTGTTTTTAAGTTATTCTCAAAATCTCCGAATGACAAGAGAGCTGTTTAGTATAATTTATTTATAAGATTCACTCAGACAACGAGACGTGCATAAAATATATTTCCCAGAGTAGTTCAAAGATTTATTCTCTGATTAGCTTTATCATTTATCAAGATTATGCCTTATTATCTTAACAGATATCATCTATATTTGTATTTGTCTTAATAATTGCCAGCTTACTATTTTTCGACTATTTTTTCAAATAGATCCTTCAAAATTTTTAGAAAATAAAAAAATATATAAATTGTTTTAATGGCTAATTCTAAAGGTTTTATGTTAAAGGAGAGTAGCAGAAATATATAAATGTGCATGAAATAAATATTTATTAAAGATATTTTGACATATGCTCATAATCTTATTATCACTTACTTGGATCATGGAATGGAACATAAATATAATTGTAGATGAGCTTTTCACGCTGAGCAAGAACCGTATCGAGTATTTTTTTCGCACCATCTTGTACTTGAAGTAAATCGTCGTTCATAGAGCCAGTCGTATCAAAAACGAATGTTAATGACGATGTGCTCGGAGGTGCTGCTTTATCACCACTCACCATAGATCCATAGGATCCATAGTATCCATAAATCCATAAGTCGATGAACCATAATAAATAAAGTATTATTCTTAAATATCGACTATATAACATGCATATTTGCATGATTTTCTCGCAATGCAAATTCGTTGTTGTATGCACAATTTCAATTCCAATTTGTTTCTCTAAAATGTTTCGTTATAATTTATAAATGTTAAAATTTAACAAAACGACCAACCGATCGAAATTTTTCATTCCTAATTTCTTGTTAAAATGAAAAAATATCTTATTTCCTGCTTAGAAAAAAAAAGAATGAACTTCATACATTTTAGAATTTTTCTTTCGATGCTCAATTTTCATGAATCGCAGCATAAGCATTTCAACTGATAGGCAATATTTATCCTTTATTTATTTCATTAATACAATATAAACCATCAATTTGTCCACTATTTTTCCGTTTCCTCTTCTAACAGCACCTCCGAGCACCTTTCACAGTTAAGCATACACTTATCATCTTATCTCTTATCACCATTGGTACCAATGCTTTTGTGCTAATTAACTTTTAACATTCTAAGTAAGGAAAGATTGGCTAAAAAAAACTTAATTCCACTTTTTCCTAGATTTTTTAATATTTCTTTTTTGCATAGGCGAACTAAAAATTTTTTAAGACTTGAGAAATTAAAGCGTGGTACTCTATAGAAACACCCATTGAATTTCTCAGTAATTAGTTCAAACAAATTCGCTCAAATTAATTAAATTAAGCCACATAATTAGGCTCAACTTTTATTCATCGAAATATCTAGAAATAGAGCGCATAAATTCATTGAATCATTAAATAGAACTATTGAAATGAGGGATTTTTGCTTGGGCTCATTCCACTTGCTTATAGGGAGCTAATACTAATGTCAGCCGGGTCGGTGAGTCGAGGACAAAAACACTGTAGATCGCTCGAATGACAGGGTGAATTCAGCCAGATGTAAAGCCCCTACTTGAAATAGTTTGTGCAATATAGCATTCGGCTAAACGACCCTCCGGCTAAAATGAATAACGAACAAGAAAATATACAAAATCGAAAATCTTTAAAATGTGCCTTTATTAAAAATATTCTACATGATGAACTTTATTATTTTACAATAAATCGATTAACTATATTAGAAATTAAATATGAAAGAAGGAGAATTGGGTATTAAGAAATTATAAAACAGCTGTAAGTCATTAATTTATTTGAAATTCTCCACAAATTTCAATCGATGCTTAGCAGCTGAAGGATCCGTGAAACTTCCAGGAAATATATTTTATGAGCAAATAATTTACTTTCTCAACGAGAAAAATTTACCATTTCACGCAATTTTCTCGTTCTTTTTCTAAATTCTCCTTAAAAATTCGGAATTTAAAATTTACGTGTTAAGATTTCTGATAAGTGATAACGCGTTTAGTTGAGGATTTGTGACAAGAAACAGCAACTGATAACTATTAATATTTCATCGATTCTTTTGTATTTCCATTATTTTTAACCAAATATTGATAGAAAATAGACAATTTTTGTCCTTTAAAAATCACCTAGTAAATTCTCTAGTAAATAAAACAAGCAGTATAAATGAGTCGGCCGCTTAGTCGAAAGATGAGAATCAAGAATGGCTCCAACCGACGCAGCACGACATCGCTGAATGGCGAAAGCAAAAGGGAGCGAATAGCATAGTGGGTTGTTGCTCAGTTTGGAGCGCCGATGCTGAATTCCTGCGCCTGGCAGAAATAAACCTATCCTTCCAGGTGATGCTAGCAATTTGTCTGTACTTCCATCGCCAAATGACTTCCCAGTCTGATCGACGAGCGAGGAAAGCGAGCTTAACCAGTGAGAGCTTTCAGGAAAAACATCTTTGTTTTACGAATTCATTTCCATTATCATTATCATTTCTTATCATCAATTGTTTTACGAATAATCGAAATCCGTTTAGTGTTTAACGATCAATCTTAATTTTCAAAGACCAAAAACCGCAAAATTAATGAAAATATCGCTAAAACCAAAAAATTGCTTAGTTTTTCTCACAGCAATTTTGAAATCGGTTTAAATTTTTTGCAACTGATTGCTTTTATCATTCTTTGCCGAAAATTCTAGCGAATTATTTTTTTTTTATAAATCGCACTTTACATTAAAATAAATAAATGATAAAAAATGATAAGAAGTGATAATGACAATGAGAATAAATGATAATAGACTAAGATCATTAATTCCCACATATAAGTGGAAACATTTTTAGAATTTTACAAAAACATTTAAGTATTATTTATGAAGAAAATAAATAATTGGCGAATAATACTAAAAATTCGTATAAAAAAAACAATTTTACACAAAATTCTGGGAGAATATTTAAGCCAATTTATAAAAAAATTTTGTGAATCATATTGGCCACATTATGGACCTAAAAGAAGTACCATTCTTTTTTGTATCGATTTTAAACGAGACAGCAATAAGAATCTAAAAAAACTAATTTTCAGAAAATTTTTTTAAAAATTCTCGAAAAACCAATCGTTCGATACGAAAATACGATAAAAATAAAAAAAATACGAATGCAAAAATAAAAATAAAAAATCTCTATTTGATTTTCGAATATTTATTCGTTCTTTTCAAACATTTAAATGTTATTCAAATAATAATAATTTAAAACAATGATAGTGATAAATGATAAATATATGATAACAACAATGATAATAATAATATTAATAACAATAAATAATAACTAATAAAATAAAATAAAATAAAAATAAAGAAAGCTAAAATAATAAAAATAAATAAATGTAAAATAAATTTGCTAATAATAAATCAAAGAAAATTAATGAAAAATTTTAAAATATTTTAAATCGAATTTAAAATACATTTGTCGTTGATTGTCGGTTTTTGTGAACTTAGCAGTTGTTAAGCAATAAACTTAAATTTCGCAAATTTATTTTCGTTTTCTTTTATGTTAATATTTCGTCGGAAAAGACTTCGAGATGATTCGTGAATTTGCATTTAAATAATTTAAAAAATTTTACAATTTTCCTCCGAATTTTTATTTAAAATTTAAATTTTAAATTTAAAACAGCTAATTTCAACTAATGAAATTTTTTTAAAACGAAAGAGATTTTTTGACGAACAAAAATTCAATAATTAAGGGTTCTTCATCTAAGTATTAGGAGGAATAAATTAACTAAATTACGGATTCATTGATCCCTTCTTTTTCCTCATTTAACAGTTCAACTTTGGCTAATTCGGATTGCACGTCTACAAAGCGACAACAATTGAAGCACTTGAGATATAACCGTAAGAGAATCACTTAAGAAGAATAGCAGTTCAGGTGCGTAACTCATCACCACGCGGATTTCACGTTTATAAAGAGAGAGCAATCGAAGCAATAATGCTTGGTCTCAATCCTGGTAAAATATCACTCGACCATGCTCCCCCCATTACACAACTGAAAACTTATTTCTAAAGAAGTCGTCACGATCTTTCACGAGTTAAACCTATATGATTGATGCATCGGGTTTGCATACTTCAACTGAGAACCTGAAGAAAGGACAAATGTGAAGCAAATCTGAAACATATATATATATATATACATTATAAACTAATAAAAATTGGGCTTGATTGTTAACTGGACTAACTGGCGAAACTAACGAAATTTAGAAATCCTCAACGATATAAATTTTTGATATATCAAAAGTACTGTTCGGCCATGCAGGAAACACCAAATTGAGACCTCTGGATCGTTCACTTTGCCTTTTTCTCTTCTTTTCTCATTCCCTTATCTATATCACTTTCACCTTTTCCTTATCGATAATTTACCTCTTTTTCTTATCTTGCAACCTTGCAGTCTTTTGTCACTAATATTTTACTTCCTCGCTATTTGCTGCGATAATTACTCCCATGTGCATATGAATTCCTCTTCTATAATCCCTCGCATTAAAAAAAAAAAGAATTAAAAGGTTAAAGGACAACCAAGACCTGGCTTAGCCAAGATATATTCCAAGGTATATTTTACATGGAACAACTGATAAGCAGACAATTGATAAAAACGAATTTGCAAATGAATTCACTACTCTAATTCTGTTTTCAACGATGGTATCTGCGAAAAGAATACGGAAATACATAGCGACTATGTTAAAAGTCCCAAAAGCCTGGAAGAATTAACATTGGAACCACTAAAAAATCGTCTAATATTTGTTTACATTCGATTGTTCATTATAATATAATCAAATATTTCTTTTTAAGACTTTTCACCAGAGGGAGACTTGACGACAGAAAATGGGTCCACGGCACCACCCAGGTTTTGCACCCCTTAGGAGTAAGAGACCGAACACGTCCTCGGTCCAAGCAACAAACCATTCCTCCACTCCACATTCCTCATCCCTCCATTCTGCGCACTAAATTTCAAGAATTCCACTGTTATTAAACCAAACTGGCACACTTTATTTAAACCAACTGAGCCATGTCCGGCTGTAATTTATACGCGGCCGGCCATAAATTCTCCGGAAATGTCCATTTAAGGTTTTGTCGGTTTTTGTCCGCTAATAATTAAAAGCTATATTAGGGGTGGCGGGGAGGAAGGATGGGGGAGGGGAATGGGTGCTGAAGTTTTTTAGAAAATTTTTCAAAAACAAATTTTTAGTAAAATAAAAAAATGGTATCGCATTACGAATATGTCGCACCAATTTTTAAAAATGAACGTACAACGTTCGAGCGAATCGAAAAATTCATCTCGAACGATTATTTCGCGGATTGCAATTTGCGCGGTCGCTTATATCGTTTCCCTCGGGCAGTTTCGATTAAGCACTACTCATCCGAGGAAGTATCGACTATCTCGTTCAATGATGCCGTTCAGTTTTTAAGTTCCAAAGGTAAGCCATTATTTTGGGAATACTCTCCAGCCGCCTCAACCGCTGGCAATGTTCCGTCAGCTTATGGCGCAAAAATCGAGTTCACGCTATTCGGCGAGACAACTCATCGCTTTTTCGAACAATAGTTTTTTTTTCTAATTTATTGTTGTGATAGGAAAGCAAGTGGATATCGGATTTTCATTCGGTCCAACATGGACGATTCATTGGTTCGAAGTAATTTGCGAAGTACCAAGGGAATGGGAAAGCGAAAATTTGGTTCTTCAGTTCGATGCGGGTTGTGAAGCTTTGGTTTGGGACTCGAATGGAAAAGTAATTCAAGGTATTTCATATTTGTGACGAATAGTTCATCTGCGAATAGGGAGAATCTCGCTAGTGCTCATCCACATTTACTTCTGTAACTAAGCGATTTTACTGAATAGGTATGGAAGATGAGGATTCGAGGATTTTCTTCCAGCTTATGCAAGCCAAAATTCTTAATTCAAACCTGTGAATAATCCAATGAAATTTCTTATCTTTTTTATATCACTTTAATATAAATTGTTTTTGTTCGAGGTTGTTCTCCCGATTTTGGCCGTATCGATATTGCGATTCCATCTGGGCAGTTGACTCATAAATTTTATATCGAAGCATCTGCGAATGAACGAAATGGTGATGGTGATGGTGGTGCTATTAGACCTGCAAAATTGAATAAATTTTTTGAGGTGGAAGTTTCTTCTTCGTCGAGATAAAAAAAATTATTAGAACTATAACAATTATTGAGATTTTAATGGTGAAAATTTTTTAGCTTAAAAAAGCGTGTATTTGTATATTTCGTCCCGATATTTATGATCTCTTAATAAATTTTGAAATTTTGCTGGAAATGGCTGAACACCTACCGAAAGATGGTTTAAGACGCTATGAAGCTTTATACACAGCTAATGATATGGTGGGTTATCTTTTATCATTTTCTATCTTAAATGAAATCTATTTTTTTTTAAATTTTTTGGTTTTCATTCATGAATCTTTTCAACATTTTTGAGATTTTTCTTATCTTTTATACAAATTATTTTAACTAATGTGAGATAATTGTGGAGCCGTCTAAAATATTTATTCAATTCAGATTAATCAATTGGTTTTATTTGATTTCTCATCAGATATAATTCAAAAATGCCATGAAAAAGCGATGAAGTTTTTCGCACAACCAAATGCACCAAGTCAAATCACTTTATATGCAATCGGCAATTGTCACATTGATACGGCATGGCTTTGGAGGTAAAAAATTTAAATATCTTGAAAAAATTTATTTTTCACTTTTCTCCCACTTTTCCCATTTTTTTCATTAGCCAAATTTCATTTATTATGGGGAATTTTTATCATTGGTCGCAAAGATTTCAATTTGGAGTCGAGTTATCTTATATAATTTTCATATGGTGAAAAAGCAATTTTCTTTTTTCTTTTTTTATAAATTTTTCATATAATTTAATATTCGCATTTCGAATTATCTAAAATTTTCTAAAAATCGAAAACTAATAAATTTTATTTTATTTAGTTTTGATGAAACGAAACGAAAATGTGCAAGAAGCTGGAGCAGTGTTCTATCGTTGATGAAAAAGTATCCCGAGATGAATTTTGCTGTTTCGCAAGCTCAGCAGGTAGGATATTAATTTTTCCCACTTTTTTATTTCATCTATTAGATTATGAAAATCTAATGGATTTAGTTATTATGGTTGTCTGAAGAGTATCCTTCGATTTACGAAGATATAAAAGACCTTTCTTTGGATGGACAATTTATTCCAGTTGGTGGTAGTTGGGTTGAAATGGATGCAAATATACCAAATGGTGAAAGTTTATTGAGGCAAATTATATATGGACAAAAAGAATTTCGGAAAATTTTCAAAAGGTTTCTTTAATATTAGTGTCGAATGTCGAAATCTCGTAATAAATTACGAAATTTTACTATTATTTTTCAGTTTATCGAACATATTCTGGTTGCCAGATACCTTTGGATTTTGTGCACAACTTCCACAAATCATAAAACATTGTGGTATGTCTTATTTTGTTACTCAGAAAATGAGCTGGTCATTGGTTAATAAATTCCCGCATAATTCCTTTCGATGGATTGGTATTGATGGAAGTGAAGTGTTGGCTCATTTTCCTCCTCATCACTACGTTGCAAAGGTTCCATTTGAAGTTGAATTTTTTAATTTTGAAGTTTTTAAAGTTTTCTTGCCCATGAATTTTTTAATGGTGAAAAAACAATTTTCTTTTCTAGAAAATTTCCACTCACTTTAATATTATATCCAAATATATTATTATTTTGCTAAGTAAACAGATTACGGCCAAGGAATGTTTGGAATCAGCAAGAAATTTTTTGGACAAGGGTAGATCGAAAATTGCAATGATGCTATATGGTCATGGTGATGGTGGTGGTGGACCAGATGAATATATGCTTAAACGAGCAGAACGTCTTGTTGATTGTGATGGTATTCCTAAAATTTTAAATGGTACACCAAATGATTTCTTTCATGAGGTTATTTTCCATCATATGTAATCTTTACCTTTGAGAGATATATATTAAACTTTTATAATTTTTTGAATTGGTGCCATTAATTCATCGTTTTTTCTATGTTGTCAAAGTTTTTCATTCTTTTTTTCATTATTTTTAGCTCGAAAAAGATTTGCCCAATCTTTGTACGTGGAAAGGCGAACTTTATTTAGAACTGCATAATGCAACTTATACCACACATTCAATTTTGAAAAAAATGAATAGAAAACTCGAAAGTTTATTAAGAGATCACGAATTTCTGCAGGTTTTTTTCTTTATTCATTGCGAATATATTAGAATAAAATATTAGAATACAATATTAGAAACGATAAAAATAGTCGTCAATTATAAAATCCCTTCATTTTTGCCATGTACATTTATTTAGACTTTACTGTTAGTGGAAGAAGGACGATTTACTTCTCTTGAAAATGCGTGGAAAAATGTTTTGTTGAATCAGTTTCATGATATTTTACCTGGAACTTGTATTAAAGAAGTTGTAGCTGATGCAGTGCGAATTTATAATTGTTGCTTTGATAGATTAGCGGTACATGACGGTTCGGTATTAAAAATGATAGGTATTTTTTGAAATTATTTTCAAGATTTCCTATTTTATTCGCTTTTTGTTTTTTTTATGTTTCTGATGACTTTTTACTTTTTAAAATGCCCAGAAAAGCTGATTTTAGGACTGTTTTTTTCAATTAGTATTCAATTAAAATTTTAGATAATTATAGTGAACTTTAGACACCGTCAAACAAGAATCATCTGATAATTGGTTTTTAAATAGTTGTACTTGGACGAGAACATTTTGTCACGACGGACAATTGTATAATATATCTCCCTTATCAGTTTTTCATCTTAATTCACTACATTCGGTACCTTTTAACTATAATAAACGATTAGCTACTGTGGACGAAAATAATTTCAAACTTAATAACGCCTTTTTATCTGCAACTTTTGATAAGGTTTATTTTTATATATATAATGTTAAAATTTGGGATACCTTTTTATTTCAGATCATTCTATTATCTATTTTCATTTATTTAAAATTGCGTATTTTCTGCAAATTTTTTTTTTGATTTTTAATCTAAGTAAAATTTAATTTAATAATAAAAATTTAGCTTGGCCGAATTATGAATTTGGTTATTTATTCAAATGAAAATAGTGTCAACAAAACATTTAATGTGATAAATCCTGGTGAATTGGCTAATCAATTCTTGGTTTACGATGATGTTCCACTTTTTTGGGATGCATGGGACGTAATGGATTACCACCTTGAAACTAAAAAAGAAATTGCGGAGGTAAATCTTTTTTTTTTACATTTGCCTGACATCAGAAAATTCTATTTTTTTGATTAATTCATCATATGATTACTGATTGCAAGAAATGTTGTTGTAAATGTTGTTAATAAAAGTACTTATTATTAAATATTAATGTTAAATATTAATTTTATTACTTTTATAAAACAGGCCATTGGATTTAAATTATTTCAAAATTTTCGAAGTTTTTGTCTTTTTCTGATTTGCTTGAATCACTAATGGAATACGTTTTTAGGGAGTATCAGCGGCCATTGTTGAAAATAGTGATTTTTATGCAGTTATTCATTTTGAATTAAAAATTAGCCCGAAAAGTTATATTATACAAAAAGTTTCATTACGAGCTGATCTTCCTTATATTGTTTTTGATACTACAGTACATTGGTATGAATCTCATAAATTTTTAAAGGTTTATTTTAAAAATCTGATTATAAATATAAGCAATTCTTCTTCTTCTTCTAATAGCTCTCACCATTACTGGTAGGCTGGCTCGGTTGGCTCGGATGGCTACAAGAGTAAGATTCTCCAAGCTGTCCGACGCCATCGCAATAATAGAAGCCATTCCTTTTTCCATCATCTAAGTATACCGCTGGTCCCCTATGTGTTCAAAATCTTTCCTGCTTGTATCAGTCCAGGTCTTGCTTGGCCCTCCTTGCTTTTGATGCCAACCCTCACGGGATATCAAATAACGAAATATGCGTCAACTATTGTGGTGGATGACGGAGAATGTAACCTAACCAGCGGCGCTCTGTGATCACTTTATTACAGGTGGTATTTGAACGAAGATGGATATAATCATGTGCGATTTTATCCGTTCGATATACGGAAAATGTATCTTAGATATGAGTGGTCAAAGGCTAATAGCTCTTTAATCTTCCACTCTCATTGGCCATGTTTCGCAGCCATATAGCAATATTGAGCGAATTATAGCTATGTGGAAGCGGATTTATATGTGCAATTATCAAATTACCATTATAGACTAATCATTTCCGTTTTCTTTTATCTTTCCATTTCGCACTCATTATTTTTTTTATTATTGCTGAGTAGACTTTTTTTAAACATTAATTGTATTTTATGAAAATTTCTTGTTTATTCAGGGTTAAATTTTATTATACTAATAAAATCTAATCTTTAATCTAATAATTTTTCAGGTAGAATTTCCTGTGAACATAAATAATTCAGAAGCATTGTATGAAATTCCATTTGGGTTTATTGGAAGAACTACAACAAAAAACACAACATGGGATTCAGGCAAGTTCGTATATTTTATAAGAAAATATGGGATTATGGGATTTCATGTGCAAAATCTGTAAAAAATTGGTTCGAGAGGTTGTATTGCACAAAAAATTTCACTATGAGCTAATTTTCTTTATATTATTTTGGCAATATAAATTGTTTCTTCTTTTTTGCTTTTTTATGTGGTATTCAACGTTTTATGTCTTTAGTTTTTTTTACAAAACAATTTCTACTCAGGTATGAAGTTTGCGCACATAAATGGATGGTACTTTCTGAATATAATCGGGGTGTTGCAATTCTGAATGATTGTAAATATGGTCACTCGTGTGAAGGAAATGTTATGCGTTTATCTTTACTCCGATCAAGTAAATCTCCAGATGATGAAGCAGATATGGGCGATCATAAAGTTATTTTTTATTTCTAGATTTGTCTGAGGAGTTGGAAAATAAAATTGAGTGAACCACAAAATCTCGTAAAATTGCGAAATACGTTTTTTGTTTGATATCTTTTCTTTTTTCAGTTTTCATACGCTTTATATCCATTCATTGGACAGCTACAACAGCCCTATAATAATACGAAATTGAATATTGTACGTGCAGCATTTGAATTTAATAATCCTATTCGCCGCATTCAAAACTGGACAGTTGGGCGTGATGTAACAAATGTTTTAAGTGTAGAGGGTGACGAAGGTAACAATAATTTTTGCAATTGTTTTTCTATATCTGTCAGGAATTTCGCCTTCTTACATTTTTCTGATGCTATGATGATTTAAAATTTTAGGATATTGTGGCTAAACGAATATTCTGTCAGTAGTAAGATGCCACATTTAATGGTCTTTACCTCTTCTTTTCTCTTTCTTCTTTCTCCTTTCTCCTCTTTCTTCTAGTTTCTTCGAAAAAAAGCCATGAATTTTTGATGGTAAATAATGAGAATAAAAATTCTAACCTATTAATATTTCTCAATTTTTAGGAATATTTTTGTCGTCAATAAAACCAGCGGAAATTGAGCCAAATGCATTTATAATTCGTTTATTTGAATCGTTTGGTGGTGCCGCGTCGATAAAGTTATTTGTAAAGCATGCTCGAATTGTTTCGGTTGATTTATGTGATGCATTAGAACAGTCAATTTCAAATATACCTATTGAAATGGAACTACATGAAGAATCCCATTCCAGTGAATATATTTCGTTAGAATTTCGAGCATTTGAAATTAAAACGTTATTAGTTCGTTTATATGCTGTATAGTTTTATTTTGGTCCGCATAGTTTATTTATTTATTTATTTTATTTATTCGTTTATTTTTGTTTTATTTGGGACCTTTGTTTTGCTTCGAATGTTTTATCTGGATAAAAGTCAATTTTTTTGTAACTTATATCACTTCTCTAGGCTAATTGCCTCTTTTTAATTGTAAGCAATAAATCTTTCTTTCATTCACTCATTATTCTTCAAGCAGCATTTACCTTCTGCTTTTTGGTTCACTCCATTAATTACTAAAAAGAGACTTCTTTGCCAGAGAATTGCTTGCTTTGGCGGCAAGAACTATATAGACTCGAACTCAAAGCCTTAACTCGGATAGCACATCCCACCATATTTAAGCTCTTATAACCCGAAGTAAAAGAAACTTTACTGGATGGAGGGGTGGGAGCTGCCATATCTAGATTCTTCACATGCTATTTCGCAGATGCGGTCGGGTGGATTTGAATTTTAAATTTTTAAATTTAAATTTGGTGTCTTCATTGGTGCATGAAGCGCCATGCACGGATTATCATGGTCCTGGCAAGTTGTACGGGTCAGGGTTGGGTCATTTTTTTCATAATTGTGGACCTGGTTATTGCCATTTTGTCCTTGTGTTGTCCCATTTCTAGATTTTTTTGCTTGCCTATCAATTAAAAAATAATTCATAAATAAATAATCGTAAATCTGTGTAAAGCGTTATACCTTAATGAATTGTGTGGTAATCATTTTGCACTAACTTTCTACATTAAATGCGCGAAAGTACCCTATTTTATGCTCGTAAAATTCATGATTAAATTAAATTAAACCTCCCTCTGTCTTTGGCTAATTGTATTTTTTTTAGAATAGCCGGGGAAAGAACGAAAGCTTGCAGATTTCTTCTTTAGACAACCGCGCTATTGTTTTTCTCTGTGCCGTTGCCGTTGTCTTCTATAGTTCGTTACTTCTTCACCAGCCGACGACGAGATTCACCTTCAGTAATAACTGTGGTAACCAAAGTGATTAGAAGATTGAATTCGAATAGGAATGGAGGTGGAACCCCACTTCTACGTTCATTTATGGCGTGGCCGATATTAATCATCCATGGAAGGAAGAAATCAGTCAGTCATTGGCCTATTTAATGCATTAATAAATTCAAGAATATTTATGTTCTCATGTTCCATAGTGGAGATAAGCGATATTAAGCTCCTTCTGCTTTAGGGCCCTTTAGGTATTTTTAAATCAGAGTTTCATAGCACAGCTTAAATCGGAGCGTTAAACGCATTACTTGTATTTCTTTCATGAGACTCCTTTTGAAGATGCTTTGGCTTTCCCAATTTGCTCTTCTTTGCATGATTTTTGTATCGCTATTTCTTTAAATTTTTGTGCGTAAGATAGAATTTTTCATTTTTTTAGGATTTATTTTTGTGGTTATTTTTTGTGTTATTTCAAGTGTTAATGGAAGAATACGAAATTGGTGAAAGTGAATATTGGTTTTATGGAGATCGAATTCTTCAAAATAGAAACCCAACAAATTGCGATCTAAGTGGATCGATTAATCCAAAGTATTCAGTTTCGGTAAATTAAATATACTTTATGAAATTTACAAATCTTTAGTGTAAATTAAGTAATTGCGGCTAAATTAGAAAATCCCTTTTCATAAAGAGCGAAGAAGAAATTTAAAAAGCAAGAAAGCATCAAAATTTTTAAATTTTTTTACTTGATGAATTACGTAAAACATTTACCATTGCTACGAATTTATTTCTCAGTTATGATAATGAAAGTGTGGAATCAGAATTCGTAAAATTAATAGAAATATTTTGAAGCTTGCGAGAATTTGTTATCATCCTTATATTTGTAATATATATGTGTTATATTCGTTATATTTGAATTGCCATTTTGAGATATTTACTGGTCGGATTGGAAACTATAAAAGAATCTAATCCATTTTTTTATAGGTTAGCGATAAGCGAATTCGGAAAAAATTATTCGAAGAATTACTTGGAAGTTTTAATGTATTCAGTCGTCAACGTGATGCACTAGAAACAAAAGCGTCGAAAGGAGCAAAATATCGAGTATTTTCATTCGAAAGTCCAGATTCAAAAGAAGGTTTTACTCTTATTTTTTATTTGTTCATTTTTTAAAGATTATCGCTGAAGCCTTTCTAAGCAAAAATTGTTATGCTAAATGGTAAAAATAAAATAAGGGAAGTAAGGCATGTTGAATTTTTTTGAATTACTTTAAAAGGAGATACAAAACATTTAATCGTTCAATCAAAAAGTATTAATTAATAAAAATAAATAAAGTATTAAATTAATCTTAAAGGACAACGACGATTTCTCGTAACAACAGTGGAACGGTTTTGGCAGTGGTACGAGAATCGTCAAAACCTTTCGTTCTATGAATTGATTCCGGATGAGACTCCTTGTAGACTATATTTTGATTTGGAATTTTACCGTGCAACGAATGCGAACGTTGATGAAAAAAAGTTAATTAATGACTTCAACTGCTGTGTTGTGGAAACTATGCAAAATATGTTTAATATTGATTTAATTCCAAATCAGGTTGGCTATATTCATTCAATTTATTTGATTATTTCTGAATGTTTCATAGTTTTTGCTTCATTATTTTTCTTTTTATTTTCCCTATTCAATTTTTTTTTTTGAAGTTTGAGCCACTTTTTTCAGCAAATGATTATATTGGATTCTTCAACCTCTACGAAATTTAGTGAACATGTAATTGTTCATTTCCATGAAAAATATTTCTTTTCATCTAATGTTTCTATGAAACCTTTTATATTAATGCTGGAAAAGAATATGATAAGCTCGAATCGTGGAATCGTCTGGAATAAAGATGGAACTCGGCAAATTCCTTTATTTGATGTTGGTGTTTACACTAGGTTAGCATATTTCTTTAGTCCAAAATTTTTGGAATTTACGGTTTATTTTTTTTTCAGTTTTTCACATGTTTTTCATAAATTTCTACTCATCGATTGCAGTTTTTAGGAATCGAAATTTCCGGCTATATCTTTCTTCAAAAATAGGCAAGAATAACCCATTAATACTCTCATGCCGCTGCGATTTTTATCAGCCTGGTACAGCTACAAAAAAACAAATTTTCCTTGATTCTTTGGTAGTTCCTTCAGTGCGACTTGAAGATATTAATATTATAAATTCTATAAATACGTGTACTTCTATCAATGAAGTTTCTCAGATTGATTCAGGTCTACTTTCTTGCCATGGTTAATCTATTTTCAACATCGAGAATCTTGAAGTTTATTTTTTTAAGTTATCTATTCAATGGTTCTTAAAGAGTTTTTAAGAACCATCTTGTAATTTTTAAGTATATAAAATTTGAAATTATTATTTTTAACTACCAAACTGGAATTTTTGACCATTGTTGTTTATGAAAATAGGTAGTTGCAGGCAGCTTCGATCGAGAATGCTCAAATTCTGTTGTTTTGAGCGGACAAGGATTTGCTTCACCATATCCTTTTCTCGACCAGTTTATAATAATGATTAATCAGTATATTTTTCGTTTTTGTATTGTTTATCATTTAACCATTTTCGATTGGGGAAAGGATAGCTCATTGGGTTGTTGCTGAATTCAGAGCACGTATGCTGGGGTTCTATTTCCCTCAGGAGCAAACCTGTGCAAAAATCCGAGTGATGCTGGCGACTCACCCGTATTTCTATCGTCAAGGGATTCTCTGGCTTATTTGTCCAATGCGACTAGCCAACGAGTTTAGCCAGTAGTCGTGATAACTCTTAAAAAAGAAAAAAATCACCTTTAATTATTGCTATGTTGCAGCAATTGTAATATTTAAAGAAGAAGAAGTATTTATCAGATATTTTCAGGCGTTGGAAGGAAACAGTTTCAATTCGAATGTGGAAACTGGTGAAAGATGAATCAAAAAGAATATGTCGCATTATTTATTATGTTGTTATTTTGATTTTTATAAATTTATAAATTATTTCAGTTGTTGAATAGTGAGTGAAGAGGAGCCTCTTCCATTTTCTGTGCAATTAAAATTTTAGTTTACCTTTTCGACTCGCTCAAATTTTCGCTATTCACTTTTAGTTGGCCAATTGTCGCTATTGCTTTAACATTGGTCGTGAACATAAAAGCAATGGGACATATTGGACGGTGGATCTCGAAAAACTGATTTTTTATCAGAAATGTTTCGATATTGATTGTCGAGGAGCGAGTTCCAATCATTTTCCTTTGCCTAATTTTGTGCGACAGTCTATTCCAGCTGCAGATGGTATTTCATTTTATGTTTTCATAGGCTTTAAATGTGGATTAATTTCAGTTGATTCATTTTATTCTGATTGATTTTTTTCTTAATTTCAAATTTTATTAAGCATCTTTCCAGACGTTTCTCAAGCTCATGATTATAATGCATTGCAAACCGAAGCAAAACGAATCGTAATAAATTTAAACGAATAAGAAAAAAGAGAAAATCCAGATATCGATTAGAAATTAAAGCTTATACTTAGAAGAAGTGCTGCTTTTGAGAAAAATATATCAGTTAAAGCAAGAAGTGATTATGATTCCATTCAACGAGAAACAATTATTGGAGATTGGTAAATTGAAGTAAGATTCATGAAAACCGTTTTTAATTCAATGAAATTTGTTTTGCACTTGAAGAGATTTATGAAATACTTTATTTATTTCTTGTTTCTTTTTTTGGACTTTATAATTTTGTCACAATGCGTTAATTTATTAATACTATTTCCAAAAAATTTAAAAATATTGGAAAATTTGGCTTTTTTTAATGTGATTTTCTTTAAAATAATTTCTAATTTATAATAATTGTAATTTTCTTAATTATTTCTTTACAAAATTTATTAATCTCTCAACAAATATTCACAACAAATATTCTTGAATCTTACGATAATTTTTCCTTTCTGTTGGATAAATAAAGAACATACATAACAAAGATCCATCCATAATACAAAATGTAGTGTTCGCTATCTGTAAAGTAAATTTCGAGGATTTTTAGTTTTTTAAGTTTTTTCATTGTATAAAACGATCTGTCAGAAATCTTTATAATTAGCATTTTCGCATGAAAAGCATAAAATCGAGGAAAGTACTTGTTTTTGGTTTTTTGGATTTAATAGTATGGTAGAAAATCTTGATGTATCAGTTACGAAGCGAATTTATGTTTCAATTTTGTTCTAAATTTTTTACTGTAATTTAAAGTTTGGAATTGTACTATAATATTATTTCTTCCGTCTGATTGCTCGTATTTTTTATCAACTTTCATGATTTATGAATCTTTCATGATTTTTTATTTCATTTTCCTTTATTTATTTGTTTTATTTTGTTTTTTTTTGGAGAAAAATTGAAAAACTTACCAACATGTAGAAATCGTCTATAGCAAAGCTGTATACAATAGCATGTAACTCCATAATGCAAGTGAATATGACAAGTGCTGATGGAATGAAATCGATGACTTTGGTTTTGACTGCTCGATACTAAAGGATAAAGCTTATTTACTTTTTTTGTAAATCGACCAGATTCAGTTTTTTTCATTAAGGGAAATGGTTGGAACAATTTCTTTATTAATCCATTCCTCGCTATTTCTACACATGGCATTTTAATTGATTTGCCATTACTGATTGGGTTGGCTCAATTGTACAAAGGTAAGGCATTTCGTAGCCACTCGATCCAGTGTCCTATAATCCTTCAAGGCTATAGTTAGACTCTATGACCTAAACTCCTGATACATCCCTAATTTCAGATCTCTCATTTGTACACCTTTAATTTATATAGAATTATGAACGATTTATAGACTTACGATCATAAACGGGCATACGAAGGAACCGGCGATTTGTGCAGCTGATGCGAATCGACCCGTCATTACTCTTCCATCATCGACTGTTAGTTTTTCGATGTACAAATATAAAGCCATTTGTAAAAGAAGAATATAAAGTAAAGCTTTAACCAATTGTTGCTGAAAGAAAAATATTCGAAAATATTTAAAAAAATATCAATATTCTTTAGAATTTTTTTAAGAATTATTGGCTTGTGATATAGATTTTTAGCACCATTTCACATTTAATGGCGGACATCTATCAAGAGACGTGAACCGAACATTCCAAAGATGAAATAATTAAATCGAAGTGGTTATTATTTCTAGTAAGGCTAGTTAGCCTCTTTGGTTGGAAATTTTTGTCACTTGATGACTTGAAGAAATGTGAATAAGAGGGGAAATACCTTCCGGACGGGTTTTAAGGTTTACCTCTGCTAGAGTTGAAAAAATGAATTTCTGATGCTTGACATAGATTGAAACAACTATATCACTCGATCACACTGCCTTTATTCAAATAATCATTTTTATTAGGTCGTGGGTGATAAAAAGTACCTTTTTTGATCGATAAAATAATAAGGTAAGCAAGAAAAAGATTTGCATAATAACTGCGTAAGTTTGCAGCAATATGAGTTTGGTATCCTCGATAAAGATGGAATAGCGTAGCCATAATCCGGACCTTAAATAATTTTAGTAATTAGTAATTTCCAATAATTTTAATTAAAATTAACAAATTTTTTTCCTCTTATAATATGCTTTCATTAATCAAAAGAATAAGACTAATGGAAAATCAGTTTAGATGTTTAGACTTAAACTTTTCCTAACAGTCTTATTGTTTTCAAATACTTTTATAAGCAAATATTACCCAATTGCTGCACATATATATGGCAACGGCGTATCACTATCGCTACTCCGGCGACGATACCATTTAAAAACGGCTTGCCTAAAATTGCTTATAAAAATAACTATAATATATTAATATAATTGCAAATATATACTTCATAATCATTTAAAACTTCAAGTTCAGGATGATTCTGGATAAATGTATATTCCATTGTTCGTAGAAACTGAATTTAGCTGATGTGACAAGACTGCGTTATTCAATTGATATGATTAGATATTAGATATTAGATAGCGGCATCAGAAGAGTGTTGTTTTGAGCATTTATATTTCCGATTACTGCCAGAAAGAATTTTCGAAAAAAAACCCATTTAATTTTGCCGATAAACTATCCCTAATCAAGACTACTTTTAAAGTATTCTTATAAAAAAAGAGTGGAATACGGTGGAAAACCGGTTATAGACGACGATCAACCTATATATATATATATATATCTAAGCGAGAAGAAAGAAAAAAAGGAAAATTTTTCGCAAATCCGGATGAAAGTCGGAAAAAAAAGAGGAATAACCTTGATTTTCGATAACTGTAAATAATCGAGGAATGAAGAAATTCAAAAATTAGTTTTATCTAAATAAACGATCAAATGCGATAAATGAAGACAATGTGGTTAAGGAAATTCGAATTGAAAAATTGCCTATGAAAGAATATTCCCAAATTCAGTGGAATTTTTTTATTAAACTAGTAAAAAAAAAAAAATAAAATTTCGTTATTTCTGGCTTTGAAAAAACTCATTTGCTCCTCTCATGTAGTGCCGTAAATTTCAGCCAGTCTAAGTGTTGTGACTGAGCAGAGCCTAAAGCCCAACTAATAATAGTGCAAGACTTGAGAAGTGGAAGAAGACCTGAAGTCTGAAGAGAACATTGGAACTAGTCAGACTTGTTATATTCCATTTGTTATGACTAGAATTAAATTAGTTATGTCGTCACCACCTGAATTTGCTTTTATTTATTACTTTTGTTTTCTTCTTCTAACAACATTTGCAATCGCATTCTACTTTGGCAGGTTGCAGTTAACTAAAAGGATGGCAGTTCTTCGCTAAGTGAAAAGGAATGGAAAATTAGAAATAGAGCCGAGTTAGCAGTGCTAAGCGTACTTATCAGTGCAAACTGATTTCCTTCCAGAAGCGAATTTTTCTCTGATATTTGCGGAGATATTGGCTCCAAAGAGATAATAAAAATGTGCAAATCATCATAAAAAAGTTTCTTAAAGTTGGACTGATTAGTTGAAAAAGTCTGCGTGGAAATGAGATTTTTAATCGGCGATGGTGGTTAATTACTACGTTGAAATCATCGGATGGAGGAGTAATGGAATAAGGGAAGTAAAGGAGGAGTAATATAGATGGTGGTTTCTATTCTAAAAATTTCTATAAAATTTACAAATTTTGAAAAAATTATTCAAATTTTAATTTTTTATTTTTTTTATTATGCTTATATTTTATTAATGAAAAATGATATTTTAAAAATAATAATTGAAATAAGTTGACATTAATCAATTTTAAAAATGCATATTAGAAAAAATTGAAAAAATTCGTCATAAAAAAAATTTGCATGATCATTTCAAATCCCTAAAATCCTATTTTTTTTTAAGAGTCTTCGCCATTACTGGTTAAACTCGCTTCGCCAGCTTGTCGCACTGGACAAATATGCCAGGGAGTTCCTTGGCGATAGAAATACAGGTAAATCGCCAGTATCACCCGGAAAAAAATCAAAGTGATAATCGTTTCAAATCCTAAAAATCCTATAAAAAATATAAAATGAATATAAATATAGAATTTAAAAATTATGGCTATAAATATGGCTTAAATGTGAAGTCACAACGATATGGCTATTTTAAGTTATAAGTTGTGGCTCGCCACTATTTATTCGAATGGTACCATGTGTGGCTGAATGCATTTCTTAGCAGTTCTTTGCAAACTATGTAGTTTGCTTTGCTTTTTTTTTTGCATAAAGTAGGTAATTTCGAAGTAGCGAAAAAGAGAAAATTTATGAGAAAATTTTATCAGCAACTAGCGAATCTAAAAAAAAACATTGGAAAACATACAGTGGACTTGCAATGAGAACAACAGCATGAACGGCAGTCGACGTTAAAAATAGACTCCAAATGAGATTGTCGGTATAAAAGTCAAAAAATAACTGCAGCAACTCGGCTGCAGTTATTTCGTCAACGTTAACTGGCATAACGGATTTGAAATAGCTCTTCGTTATGACTGCCATTGATATAATAAGTAGTCATTCATTAGATGACGTGAAAACGGACATTGGCGAACGACTCACTCGCTGGTCAACTTGCTTATCTGAATCTTCCATCGTTTTATCAACGTCACTGCCTCTTCAAAAATGGAACGAAATTTTCGAGCAAGGAAGGCAAAAGGCAAAACATTAAAGTCGAACTACTAATATATTATTTGCTTAAATAATTTTTTAATAATTTTTGGCAAATTTTAATATTTAACGTGAAGAATGCTTATCGTCCTCGGTGCTTCAGATTCTGCGTTTGGTGAGAGTAAATATGTCAATAAAAAATGTGTCAGAAAAAACAGTAATGAGAATTCGCCGGTACTTTTATGTTCAATTGGCTGACTCTATGGCAAAAAATATCGCCAGCTAGTACAACGAGACAGCAAGCCAGCACTACTTTACGCAATTTTTCTTAATCAAATGCTTTTATCTGTCCGTAACTGATTATGATTATATATTATAGTAAAGCGATTGATAAACTATTTTTTAATTTTTATATAAAAATAAAAAATTATATTAAAAATGAGTTGACTCGCAAAAATTGGCTATAATTGAGCGATTATTTGGTTTCAGCAACCATTTCCTAATTCGCTACTCCAAGACTTATAAAAATAATACTATTTGATGAACTGAAAGTACCACTGAGTCGCTGCGAAGAATTATTATTTCACACATACTTTATTTGGAATTGATTCATAAATTCATAAAATTTTTTTCTAATTACGCATTGAAATGAAAAAATTACGATTTTTCTTCAACATCTTTTAAATATTTTTTTCTGCAATAAACAATCACCAATCTTCATCTCTACGAAAATACTACGGATGCACTGTTCAAAGCCAATATGCACGCAAATTATTAAACTGGAAATCACCGATAAACGTTTTTCACGGAAATTTTGGAATAAAATTTTGAGCTTTGAATGCAGTCGTCGCTTTCGACTTATTCCTTCACTTATTTTAACCCATCATTTGAAATATAACTGTTATTATTATCATTTCAGCAGTTATTAGTTTGAATAAAAAAAATACAAAATAATGTATCATTAGCAAGAAAGACTATTAAACAAGCTTCACGATCAAAGCAATTCGTGGGATTCATTCTAATTATAATGACCTATATTAAGACCTATCAAATATTATACATACAATAAGCTTATCTTTTCGTGCTGAATATATAATCTGAATAACATGCCGAGTCCCATTTAAATTGATATAATGTACATCGAAAAAGCATTGAAAAAAACCGATCGAATACAGAAAAATTAATTACCAAATGGATATAACAATAATCGAGGAATATAAAACAAAAATAATGAAAAACGAAATAACAGCAAAGGACAACTAGCGCAACAAGGAATTGAATCATGGAGCATCTATAATACATCTATAGTATCTATAGTACAGTACCTATAGAAACTATATAAATTATTAAGAAAAATAGTATAAATTCATATAATCATTCATTAGGAATTTGAGATTTCAGAGTTCGACAAAGAATCTGGAGTTGCTGAAGCTGACGATCTTTATGAGCACTTTCATCTTCGATTTTTTTCTTTTCATCAACTGTTATAGCCAAGATTCTAAAAAAAGTTCAATAATGACACTAACTAGAACGGCGATTACCAATTGCGAACTAATGAAATAATGCGCTTAATCAATGAGAAAAAAGAAAATATTAAAAAATTGCAGCTTTTTTCCTTTAAACAATCATTAATTTGAAAAAAAGATTATCAATTTAATTAATGGGCACCAAACTAACTTTGATAAATCTTCATGTTTTGTTTTCCATCTGCGAGATTCTTTTTCAACTTTTATTAAATTTGTATTCATCTGTAATAAAAATTTTCAGTTAAAATAGTGAAACTCGTAAGAATAATAGTGAAATAGTGAAACAATAATTCAATTTAATGAGTGTAATGAACGTTTCGCTAGATGAATAAATGTTTAAACTCTCTCTACTTTCATTTAGCTGAACTGGAATTACAATCAGAAAATGACGTGATCAAAAAAGAAAATAATGAAATGAAAAAAAAAATAAAGAAGTAATAAATTATTACGACAGAAATTACAAATAAGTAGGTTTATTTGATTCAATAGAAAAATACTGAAAAACAAAATTTCTGAAAAATTCGGAAAGCTTTGAAAGAAAAATGGTAAAAATGAATTTACCCGTTCCATCTCTCGCTTGAATTTATCAAAGGTTTCGTTTGAATTATTAAGACTATTGTGTAATTCATTGTATTTTTTGGAATATTTATTAATTTGTTCGCGCATTTCCTTTTCAGCTTCAAGCGCTTCTTTCATTCTGAGTTCACGAGCCAAGAGCTAAAATATTTAAAGATATGCACAAGATATTTTGTTCAATAGTGTTAAAAATAAACGGCGATCAGTTTCACCCATTTTAAAAATATCACAAATATTTATTTTCATGAACGAAGACAACAAGTAACATTTAGTACCTTTTTGGCATCAATCTACAAGAAATATCATTCAAATTTGTAATATTTGTCTTCCTAATATATGCAGCCCATTACATAATTCACAAGAACAAACTATAAAGACTAGAAAATATCGGATTTATTTAACAATGCTTCGGTAACAATACTTTTTTCGTTTTGAAGTAAAAGCCTATTTATCACAGACAAATGAAAATAAAAAAATATAAGTAAAAGCAATAATAACTCATATTCAAGTATATAGACGCGTATATGCCACCATTTCACTCTATTTAGCTATCTTGCATTTTACATCGAACTTCGTTATTTATAGCTAATATTTAAAGAAATACTTGGGGTAATTCATTTAGTTTAATGCGATTAATTCTCAGTAGTTCACCTTTAGACATATTGAGATAAGCTATGGTTATCGCAAAAAATGGGAATATTTAATACTCGAAAGACCACTTTCCTAGGGATTTTGGTCTTTCACAGTTTTTCACGATAAAGTAGGATTCTTTTTTTTACATCTTTCATATACTTTTTCATATACTTTTCATATACTTTTGATTTCATATATATATACACTTATACAAGCTTCAAAACGAATAAAGAAATCCCGAAGCATTAAAAAAAATTTTTGGTTTTTCGATCTATTTTTGTGATTCACGAAAATATCTGCAAATTTTACGAAGCTGTGTGGAAATATTAAGAATTATTATGAGTTATAAGTTACAAAATTATAAGACACATCCTGTAAAATATACTCTAGCTCATACCTTATTTTAATTTCTTATGAATAAAACTGAAAAGGATCGAGGATCTTAATGGGAAAAATTCGCATGCGCATAAAAGAAAAGAAAAGAAATTTAAAGTACGATGATACAATACGATGAAAGAATTTGAAATATGTTTTCTTAATACTTTTAGATTCATTTTAAATTGTATCTTTTTAATTATTTTATGTTGGTTCGTTTATTATCATATGGCTTTCTGCCCTGCTTGATTATATTTGAAAGGAAAACTAATAAATAAAATTATTTACATCATTTTGTAGTTGCAATTTTTCCTGTGTGAGTTTTTGAATATCTAGACTTGCTGCGTTTAGCTTCGCTTTATATAATTCCACTTCCATATCACGCGCAGCAATTAATTTTTCGCAGTAATCAGACTTCTGAAACGAATTATTTGCCAATAATTGAAAAGTTTTAGAAATGCCATTCCAGAAATATAAAAACAAGGATGGATCAAAAAACTAAACCTCGTCAAACTGACGAGAAAGGAGAGCAACTCTTGATTCACAGTCAGTCGATAATTTTTTCAATTTTTCTGCAAGGTTAGCATTATCACAAGTAAGTTTTTCAGAAGTTTGTCGACCTTCTTCCATTGATTTCTGCAACAAACGCTGCCATTTTTATTATTTAAAATGATAGAATTAATGATTTTAGAAATTGATTATAAATCATTTTTTTTCAATTAATAAATATTAACCAAAATAAAACCATAAAGGAACCATAAGCATAAATAAATAAAACAATGAAATATAACAATTAAGATAATTCCATATGCTTGTTAAAAGTTCAGAAACAGTGGATTTGCCTCAAATTTTCTTAAAAATGAATTTCAAGCCATCATAATAGGTTTTGCAAGTAGCAAAAAAAGTACCTGTATACTGGCCATGGATTCTTTAAACTGTATAACCATTTCTTCTCTACTCTTCTCTAGTATTCGCAATTTTTCTACATGTTCTTCAGTCGATTTCCTTTGAATTCTTTGCATTTCCCTGCATAATTCTTCCAATTTTCCTTTCGCTAATTCCGTTTTCATCAATGTGCATTCAAGTTTTTCAACTTTCTTTATCAACTTGAAATGTTCAATATTAGTTTTATCAAAATTTTTCTTAAAAATCTAATTTAATCCGATATTAATGATCATAAAACTGAATCATATAAAGAAAGCATATTCGAAACCATTAAAATACAAAAACAACTAAATAATTTTGAAAAATTTGATGTTGTGAAATTCAACCTAAATAGAAGAAAATATTGTCAAAATATTTTTTATTTAAAGAATTTATCAGAATTTTTCTTTGGCTGAGAAAAAGCCAGCATAAAACAAAATTAAAATAGGAATAGGGGACGGCAATTTTCCTTAATAAGAAAACTAAACTCAAGAATTTGGAAAATTTTCAAAAAAAATAAAAAACAACAAAGTTATATGGTTGCACATACTATTATCCACCTCCCCCTTTATTCTTGTTAAAAAATAGGGATTTTCGATAGAAGTGACAGATCTAGTTGTGAAAAATAAGATAATAATATATGGCAATTATGCTAAAATTTACCTATAAAATTTAATAAGTAATATAAATAATTTTAATAAGGAAAAACGTGATCCAACCGATTCGTTTTGCTTTCGCCATGTGTTTTCCTGATTAGAGTGTTCTTGTAATTTTGTAAGAAGTGTTGCTTTTTCTTCTTCTGTTGCAAGTACTCGCTCCATCAAAGCATTAACAAGTTCTTCGCCCTTCAAACATCGCCCAATACTTTCTAATTCAGTTCGGATATCTAAAACTTATAAGTTAAATATAAAGCGAAAATTATTTGAACTGGAAGAAAAATGAATTATATCATTGAATCTCATGAATCTCATTTACCTAATGTTTAGTGTAGTGTTTATCCAGTATTTAAAAGGACGGAAGCTAGACTCGATAAATGAGACTTATTCTACGTTTTAGTAAAAATGCCTCATTACCTATCTTCATAATGTCAACTTAAATATTTAGGTATTTATCATTGACCAACAAGTTAATTTGTTATGGTATGGTAATTAAGATAAATTAAGAAATTAGAGAAATAAATATTCAGGAGAAAAAGAAGCCATTGGGTTTCTGCAAAATCATATCATCCAGCAGAGGACAGTGACTATACGACAGTGATACCTGATACGGCCCTCATATTTATACTATATACACATATTGAATATTTTTATCTTTATGATAAGGAATTTAGTTAAATTAAACTAAAATTGAAAGAGGGTCAAAAGAAAGAAAAAAATGAGATCAACCGTCATGGCAATTTTTATGCAAAAACCTAACAAAATTTGGATAGCGCAATGGTTTTCGCTAAGATTACCGTTCTTCTATTCAAAAAATCCGAGTAAGGAATCCTCCCTGCACTTCGATCTCCACGCATTCACGTTGGCCTCGGTCAGTGAAAGAATCCTCTACGCATAGTAACAGAAATTAGCGAAGAAGCTAGAAATCTGAAGAACGATGAAAACAAAAGAAGGGTAAAAAAACGAACAAACCTGGCTTACGCGTTGGTCCCATTAACAAATTTTCTCGAATTTCCTAAAATTCTAAAATAAATATTATTAGAATTTTTGCAAAAAAAAATATTCTAAATATTAAAATAATGAAAAAAAAATAAATCGAATCAATTCAAATTTATTTTATTTTTTTTATAAAATAAAATGTTTAAATAAATAAATATTTAATCAAATATTAAAAAATAAATAAAAATAAAAACAAATTCCTTTTAAAAATTCCTTTAAAAATTCTTCGATTTGGTTTTTCATTTTTTCTATTTTTTTAGTTGATTATTTAGTAAATAAGACAAAATACAACTTACAAATAAAAGCAACCTCCCTACCACAACAAATCCAACACAACTCCTCTCGATGTTTTTATTTATACCGACTGAAATATAACAGCTGTTCGGAGCCGAAGCCGATTTCTAATGGTCCGCGAACCTCTAAGAGTCAGAAAGGGCTGTGGATGTGGTTTCAACCAAGAACACCAAAAGGTGTGGTCGAGTAGAGTGGGGAACAACTTGTTGGTACTTTCACGTTGATCGCTGGAAAGTTTCGTCGAGAAGGTCCAAGTTTGATTGGCAACTAAAGCAGCTTTTTATGAAAATTTTTGAAATGTGTCGGATGGGGGATTAAAACATTTAAATAAGAATGCTATATGTTTTCCAAAATTTTCCGAAAATTTTATTTTAGCATTAAAAGTTTATTTCCAGTATCGGTTCATTTTGGTGAAATTAGGCATCATTTGAGCACTGTTAAAATTTCGCAATAAAGGTCCTCAAGCAGTTGGAACTGCCTCATTCACAAGTATTGGTACTACTTCATTCATAAGTAGTTGGAATTACCTTGTTCGCAAGCGACTGGTACTTCCTAATTCACAGCCAGCACTAATTCACTCAACATTTAAGAGATTCTCTTTCAGTGCAATTTGGTACTGTAGAATTCAGTGAATCCATAACTAGTAGTACCATGGTACCACAATTCAAAAATCTATTGTTTCTGCTTGTGCAACAATTATTCAAAATTCTGCTTTAAAAAAGCGAAAATATTTACAGCATGGGATTCAATTTGATGAAATGAACAGCCAAAACTGTTAGCTTTTCGGTGAATTGGCCACATTTGAGTGAGCCAATCATTAAACGGGAGTTTAATCAATTCAGTTGATAGAAACAATGCCTAATATCTAATATTAGCCAGAAAAACCGGAAAATATTTGGCATTACAGGTGTATCACCTAAGCGACTGTGAGGTCAGCAAAACTGTGAGGTTTTCGTTGCAGTTGTAAAGTGTGCCTATTATTTTAAAACTTTATATAGACTCAGACTTAACTTTTGTCTGCTCAGTTCGATCTCGAAATGAGAAAATCACAAACTGTTATAGACTATTATTTGGTTTAATGAGTTCGTTAATGTTTAGTAAGTAGTCGCAGGGGAATAAATTATGTTCAGCGTCTTCGGTAGATGAAGGGTCGCCAAGTCATTTACATAATCGTCGATGTTATTATCACCCATTATCAGCGATTAGTTTATCTGCAAAGAAGCGTGAATGATCAGATTTGATCTGAAAGTCAGTTAAATTTCATCAGCTGAAAAACTTCGAGATTTCACTACCGTTCCACTACCATCTCATATACGATTTCGCTTTTCATATAATGTCCTTGCGTTTAAGTGTTACTACTATTGTTAATATATTCTGTCCAGGTGTGTGACACATCAATAAGCAGCGACACTGATGAAGAATCGTTAAATGAGAGAATTATCGGTCGAATTCTATTCTATTCAATACGTGGAATAGTTAATTTGTGTCACATAGTTAATCGCTTTCGAAACATAATAAAATGAAAAATATAACGGTGAAGTTATTTGCATTTTAAGAATGTATTTTATGATATTTATTTCTATTATAATAAATATTGATATTGAAAATATTCGAAAAAAAAATTGAATTTTTAAGCGATTAAATTAAATGATTTTGGAAGAATTTGAAATTTAGATTGAAATTTTTATGGATAAAAATTTGCTTTTTATAAAAGAATTTATAAATTTATTAAAATAAATTTCAGTTTTTTTTTGTTTATTTTGTTTTTTATTTTCATTTTCATATATTTTTCTTTATTTTAATGCAAATTGAAAAAATAGAAAAATGTAAATTTAAAAAATAAAAAAAGAATTTGAAAAATAAAATAATTTTAATAGCAAATTTGGCATATAAAAAATAAAAAATTTCTTTCCAAGTTTAATAAAAGGTGAAATGTCTGGCTGATTTCTTTCTATCGGCCAAATATAGAGCTCGCCTCACCATTGTGACCAGTGGATCCAGCATAACCAAATACACCGGTGCGAGTTATTAGGAAAAAAGATGTTAGTTTATAAATGAATACTGGGCATGCAATGGAAATTAGATATTTCTTTTTTTACACATCCATCCATTCACATATCAGTTTTGGTGACTTTAGTGGTTTAATGGCATTTATATTCACAAACAGTTTTGGATCTTTTCTCGGATTTTCTTTGTTTTTTCTTTTCAGATATCGGTAATATATTTTTAGAATTGGAAAGATTTGTTGAAAAATTATGGCTATCGCTACTAAATATACCACTTGAACTTGTAGAAGCAGCGTTTGATAAATTTCCAGCAAATATATCATTCACGTTTGATAAGTTCGAACTGCTTAGTGATAACGTATCGAAAGACATATCTGACTTGAAATGAGGAAGTTTTAAAGGCATTTTGCAAGTTTTTCCAAAAATTGGCGTTGATGTAAATGCTGGACGTTGATTTGCGATTGGCATAAAATTGAATGCCTACAAATGCCAAAAAAATTTTCATAAACATTAATAATTAGCAGAGCCACTGAAATCACCCTAATGATGAGTCCCATTAAGAGGAAAAAGCATTTGAATTACATTTGAATATTTATGAACGCAAGTCAATAAGCTAATAAGTCACATAAGCCAATAGGATAGATATGTGGAATAAGGATAAAACCTGGTTCGATCCGTAAACATAATTCTGGCTCATCAAAAATTGTTCGCGAAATGGAACGATGCTGCCCACTGAAGAAAACTGCTGTTGGCTTTGTTGCTGATCATCCGTAGCGGCAAATAAGTTTAAGTTCATTCGTCGCCTATTCGCTTCAGCTGCTTGCAAAAGCTGTGCAATCAACTTATTGGCAAGGTTTATTTCCAAATGCGATCGAATATATGAGATCGTTGAAGTTATCGCTGCGTTATAACCGCTTTGTCGCCACAGTAACATTTCTATAAGACAAATTCAATCAAGCAATTTTCAAGCAAATTGCTATAATTTGCTATTTTACAATTTTTTTTTTATATTAAAAAAAATATTTGTAAAACAAAAAAGTTTTAACGATTTTCTCGAAAAAGTAATTCGAGAAAAATCAAAAATCGTTGTCAAAGGATTTTTTCCAGAAGAATTTGCATAGTCCTTCGTTCCATGCACCACAGAAACATGCATAAACATGCAAAGCGTTAGCGTTGTTGTTGTTGCGTTTTTCCTTTGCCTTGCAGCAAGAAAAAGCTTATAAAGCACGATTTAGGCTAAAATTATTTGCTTTCGTCAAATTACCTAAAATTCTCATTTTATAAATTTCAAATTAAATTGTTTTTAAATTTTTTTTTTTTTTGTTTTAAATAGTTTTATTTTAAAATTAAAGGGGTTTTTCTTTATTTTCTGCATCGTTTAACATCGTTCATTTACGATTGTTTAAATCATTTTTGTTGTAAATAATAACAATAATAATAACAAATTTTTTAACGAACGATAAAATTAAGTCGAAACCTAAAAAGAAAAGAAAAAATCGAACCTTTAAATATTTTTTTTTTATTATTTCATTGAAATTGCCTTCGATTTGGTTAATTTTAATAAAATTCATAAAACGTACCGTTCATCGTTGAAATATATTTACGTAAAGCTAACGCCGACAGTTCGAGGATTTCGACTTGCTCGAGTTTTGTTGCTCGATTTTTTATATAACTGCCATGAATCGTTTTCAGCTCCTCAAATGAACGAAGCATTCGTTTTCGTCGATATTTTTCAACTGCTGCTTTACGTATCTATTAATTTTAGTTAGTAACCAATACTATTATTATTGTTATTATTATTATTATTATTATTATTATTTAATTATTATTATTATTATCATTGTTATTATTGCTATTGTCATTATTATTATTATTATTATTATTATCATTATTATTATCATTATTATTATTATTATTGCTATTATTAGTATTTAATTATTTTTCACCGTGAATAACTTTCAATAAAATACGGTTGATGGATCGCTTTTATTATTTTGCTATTTTGCAATTATTATGTAAATATGTGTAATGTATCTTTTTGATTGAACAGTCCGAAATGTTCAAATGGAAAATATCAATGAATTTCAATTCACCTTTCTATCAGTAACAATATCAGTGAAAATAAAAAAAAACTATCTGATAAATAATTTGGGATATTTTTAAATCACCTCTCTTTCTTTGCTTTCTGTTTCCTCAGATGGGTCGACTAATTGCACATTGGACATAATAATTGAAGGTTTATAGTACCAATGAGATTATTAGATTGATTGATTCTGCAGGATATTTCGTAAATTTAGGAAAAATCGGGTGACAAACAATTCCAAATTAATTTCAATTTTAATTTTAACATGATTTCAATGATTTTGTAATTTAAATTTTACCAGCCAGAATATAATAAGTAATTGCTATGGATTGGACAAGCAATTGAATGAACAGTCAAAACAGATTAATCATCAAGACTTTCCCGGAGAATAGCCTCGACAATAGCTAAGACTGTACGCTTCAGCCGAGAAAGATCACGACTTCCAGTCAATTTTCGATTTAATCGGATTAAAGTATGGTCAAACGACTCGGGAATGAGTGGTTGGAAACGGGAAAACTTGACCGAATCCAAGGCTTCGTCTGACTGCATCTGATCAGATTATATGGTATATTTCCGGAAGTTCGATTTTAAAATCGAGAAAATTTCAATAATAAAAAATTTTTAAAAAGAATTTTCGATAAACAATAAGAAAAAAATTTTCAAGAATATCTAATTAATTAAAGGATTAATTGATGTATTATAAGGCAAATACGAGTTGCTTAGGAATTCTTTAGGACGTATTTCTGATTTCCACATCGTTTTCAGTCGTTTTAAGCCAAATAGAGCAAATTAAGAACCATTATCTAAGCGTTAACTATTAACCGTTCTTGGCCTTTAAAATAATTATCATTGATATCCCATAAAGAATCACTAAAATTATGAATAATAATAACACTTATCAATTGGTAGTGATTAAGAAGCCGCTCACTGAAAATGCTATTCATTGGAAAGAAGCACCTTTTATGCAGAAAGACCGCACACTACCGAAATGTGAATGAGAACTGTGCAAAGTCAGTGGATGGGAAACAATTGGAGAATCTAATCCTTTGGAGCAATTATAAGTCATCAATGGTGACAAAATGAAAAGTCGAAGGAACCATTTCTTAATGAATAGTTTTTCTCAACAATCAAATAAATATTCTCATAACTTTCGATTGACATTCATTATTCTTTTGTTTTATCCTATTTTCGTGGTGTTCTTTCCATTCGGTCGCATTCACCTAAACGAGTTGTTTTCAATAAAACGTTCATTACCGTACTCGTCCACCGGAATTATCGGCGGGCGAAAATTCAAAATTCAATACCATATGAAAAAATTTAGCACACTTTTCTTCAAACAGCTCGCACTATTGCTAATTAAGCTGGCTCAGCTGGTTACGAGGATGAGACGTTTTTAAGCCTTTGAAAGTGATAGAGGCCAGTATTTCCACTGCCTAAGTCCAGACGGCCTAAGCGTTCAAAGCCCCTGCATTCGGCCTTCGCGCTTTTGTCGCTATCCATCGCAAATTTTGCGTGTTTGCATGCATCTATCGTTGTTATCATGGAAAAACATTGCCTAAAAAGTGTTTTTATTCATGAAATTTACGACTTATAAAACCATTATCAATCGTGAAAGAACTCTATGAAAGAAAGTTTGGAACTGAGAAATTTGCACTAATTTCTTCTTCTTTTTGTTCTTTTCACCAATTTGGTACCAATCAAATTAGTAAATGACGGGAAAAGTTAATCTTAACAGAAGGAAAACGATAAACAGAGGAAACATAGACCCAAACCATAATTATTTTGAGCGCAGCAAAAACAAGCCTTTCAGAAAAATCCTTCAAATATATAGTTTCTTCGGGCTGCGGCCTTGTATTTAATGGGCTCTGGCCGCACTTAAAGCGATTTTGCAGTATAGACGTTCAGTACTTTGTTTTATCAAGAGGTTCAGTTCAGTTCTACGTTGGTACTTACGGGTTGTTTGTTTGGGTCGTTTCAGTCTATGGTGGGACATGGTTTTGCCTTAACTCATCGGTTCGTATTTATTTCAATTTAAGTGAAAATTACCACATTTTAACTAAAAAAAAGAGTACTCTTTAAAAAAATCGTTGTTTTTTAGACATTCATTTTTAATATTTAATTTATATTTTTTGAATTTTTCTGTATTGAAATAATTTTAGCAAATAATTGTTGAACTGGAAGTTTTTGGCTGATTTATCGAAAATATTTTTACAATTTAACGAAGTTAAGTTAAGTTAAGTATAAAGAATAAAGTTTAAGAAGAAAGAAAGAGGGTGAAAAGAGTGGAAAACTGATTCGCTGAGGTGAATTTGTTTAGACGGGGAATTTTGGAAAAAATTAACGGTTTCATTTTTTTCAGAAAATTAACGGCTTCATTTATTTCGGCATCGGATTTGGAGGCTGGAAATGCGTCGTTTTTATGTCCACTGGAACCAGTCTAATCGGAAGAAAAGGAACTTCTGGGGACTTTTTTTTAATATGTGAAAGCCATACTGGCCGAGAAAAATCAGTCACGTCGACGTCGACGTGAAATGTTTGAGACGAAATTGCAAATTGTCCTCATCGATCACTTTTATAATAACGATAAAATAAAAATTTATGGTAAGTTTCTATTCACTGTCTTTTTGGCTTTCGATTCAGCAATAAATTATAACAATTATTGGATTGACTTTGATGAAATAGATGAATTAGTGTTTAATTCTTCTTTCATTACAGACGCCGATGCAGGTGAAGAGAGAAGAGAGAGGAAATTCTACTATCGTTATGAGCCGACTTGCATTCCAGAAATTTGGTTGATTCCCGCTTGTACTTTTATTGATTCCCTGAAATTCGTCTGACCCGATAATCCAGAGAAGCGAACACAACTAAAAAAGGTGAATGCTCTTAAAAAATTAGTCATTGGATTATTCTCGTCACTAAATTATATAATGGATCTAATTTTTTTTGTCATAAAGTGTAAAATATTATTGCTGAATCTGATAAAAAGGCTGTAAAGAAATTATTCAGAAAGCAGACGTTTTTTCTTGTTTCAAGATCCATTACTAACTAATCGAGAGTAGCAAAAGAGCACAGTGAAATTTGGTAAAGGGGTGACATTGGACTTCGAGGAATATTATTCTTTTAATAGGTCAGTAGAGGGAGTGCTAAACGTGAAATAATCGAACTTCGAAGAGTATTTAAAAAGTTAAAAGGAGTTAACGTTTTTTATTTACGTCGCGAAACTGCAGATGTTGCGAGCGTATATATAAATATTTCGAGGTTATTTGCAAATATTACAAAGATGTGTGCCAACGTAAAGAAGTCAGCTGTGAATTCTAAAATCGTGTTGAAAATCTAGTAATTGAAAGTATTTAGTTTAGGCTTCATCTTTAATCTTCTAACATCACTCGTCACTTCAGATTTTTCTGATTCCACTAAAAATCTATGAGCCAAACTCATAATATTTGAGCTCAGTTAAACTGATATATTCTAGCCCAAGTTGGATATGTATAGTTGAAATAATATGAATTTATTTATAAATTTGAATTTGAAATTTTGATATTATGATTGGCGTTTATACTTAGAGTTTTGTTCATCTAGTTTTCATCGCCAGTATAGTTTGGTACAACAATGTTTCATATTCCTATGTAGGAAAAAAGCAGCGATTGCTGAAAGCACTGCCTCTTTGTGTGGAACTCATATACTGGTTGTATTTGATTTCGCTGTTGATCAGATTATTGAACTGTTTGAAATTGAATTGAATTGTTTGAATGGAAAACCTGTTTTTTTCAGCCAACTTATTCAGTATATGGATCAGCTTCTATTATGAAAAAAATATACATAAAAATATATACAAAAAATTTTTATGAACTTCTGAATACTTCTGAAGGCCCCTATCGGATCTTTGGATATTCTGTTCAATTCACCATCTTTGAATTTTGAAAACCACCTTTGGAACCTCTCATTCATCGCCTCTGAAACTTATATATATATTCGCATTATTTAACGAAGAAGGTCGTAGAGCATACAATGCTCACATAGTTTTATTATAAGCCACTGGATTTCTGCCAAATTTAATTAAATGATGCATATAATAATGATATAATTTAAATATTAAAAATTGGAAATTTAAAAGTTTGGCTCAGAAAAATAATATTATTTAGTGGAATATTTATTTATATTATTATTGTTTATTTATTTAGTGGAAAATAATATTATTTAGTGGATATATAATTATTTAATAATATTTTTTAATATTTATATATTATATTATTTTAATGATATTATTATAATTGGAATTAGAAGTAGTTTGTGGACTTTGAATGCTAAAATGTGTGGTATTTAATATTATATCTAAAAGATGTCAAATATATTTATCAATAATTAATTTTATCAATAATAATTAATTTTTAATGAAAAAGATTTTAGGACTTTCATATCCTAAAGAAAGAGTGTCACTTGGCAATTTTGAAGAAAACTATGAAATGTGGAAAAGATTAAGTAAGTTTTTATCTATTTTTTTTAAATTTTTAATTAAATTTAATAATTTTCCTGCATTTTTTAAATTTTATTGGTTGCTTTTGTGAGAAATTCCATAGAATAACTTGCTTTAAAAATGTCTTCATTTTCATTTTAAGTTTTTAATTGATAAAACTGTAAAAATTACTTTGGCAAATTAATTTTATTTTTTGTTGTAATTATAGAAATATTTATCAATTTTTTGACGTTCTGATTCTTGTAAGTTATTATATTTCCAAGATTTTTTAATTAGAAATTATGAGCAGTTTATTAGCATTAAGGATTGAATGTTGTGCTATGAAAAGTTTTTTAACCTCAAGGTCTATCTAATCCAGTTTCCTTCTAATCTTTGTTTTTTGGCTTAGATTTTTATTTTATTTTCATTCAGATTTTTCATATTTATATTCTGAAGTTATTATTATATTTGAATAAATTCTTTCAGTGTTCAGTGTATATATGATTCGTGGCAGACAATTTCTGTTTGTAATTCTCATAAAATTTATATCAGATTCTATATTTTCAGATATCAGCATATTTTCGAATTTACCGATGAACTGATTTTCTGATTTTAGAAAAATACTGGAAAATTGATTTGGTATTGTTGGATTATTTTAGTGGATAAAAATTTGACGATTTTCATGTAATTTTAATTGCTATATCATTTGATAATTGTTCTATTTTTTATTGCAAAATAAAAAATTTTACCTCAGATTTGTTTCCAATTTGTTTGTTTCTTGCATAATTTCTATTTTTAAATTCATTTATTCATCTAATTTAAGAAATTGGATAAGGTTTTGAAAGCAAATATATATCATAATTTTATTTACTCGAGTAAATTTTTAGTAAACTTAATGAATAGAGAATGAATATTGGCTAGGTTTGCTCTGATGTTTTAAAAAATGCAGGAGAGATTTCGATGGCTCTTACTTGTTGCTTTCTTTCCTCAGAGTGATTTGTTGCCGTAAGGTTTTTTGAAAGTCTTCTTGAAAATTCCAAGTGGTTATTTGATTGGCTTTTATCATTGTCAAATCGATTATTTCTAAAAATTTTTTCATATACTCTTCTAACGTCGTTTATGAATAGATTGGCTTGACTGGTCGAAAGGGTCTGGGATTCCCCAGTTTCTCGATGTGATGCCATATCTGAAAATAATTATTGCCCCTCCAGGCTCATGTATATCGTTGGGCTTGTGTGCATGAAATATGTGCATGAAATATCTTAGAGTCGTTCCTATTGTACATTGTACTTTGACGCTATCCATCAGGCTCTTATGATATGTAGAACAATTATGCATTATCAGTTTATTGGTAGAATTAAAACGGAAAGAATAGTAGGGATCGCAGATTATGGATTTAAATAATATCGGCTGATTTTCCGATAAGGCCTCACTTTGGAATATTTTCATCTTAATAAAGTTTTCTGTTATTGGTATTATTGATTTGAAATAGAAAAAATTTTTTGGAGTTGTTCAGGTCTGTAGAAATCTCCAGAAAGTTTTTTCACTATTTTTTTGGAGATTTGTAGATTCTATTTCAGGATTTATCAAAATTGTTCGCAATGTCAGTCTCAGGAACGGATTTTGATTCTTCGTCGAAACAATTAAGTTAGCCTTCGTAATTTTAAATTTTATTCTGTTTTTTTGAGAAGTCGTGGATATTACCATTATTATTATCACCGTCACTGTTATCTAATCATTATCACTATATTATCACTATTTTTATATTATCGCGATTTGTTGTTTATTATTTTTTATTATTGCAAGATTAATGTCATCCATATTTAATTTATAAGTTGCTGTAAGGTTTTTTGAAAGTTTTCTTGAAAATTCTTAATGGTTATTTAAAACATATAAAATCAGTTAATGGCAAAGAAAAAAGTCCAAATATTTTCATTTTAAATTCAAATATTTAAAATTTTTATATTTAAAATTACTGAAATAATTTTTAAAATTTATAAAATTTTTTCTAGATTATGGAGGGTGTGAAGGTCCAAGTGCGATGTACGTTAAACTGATTAGTAGCGACAATCATGAATTCATAATTAAGAAAGATTTTGCAATGATTTCGGGAACCATTAAAGCAATGTTATCTGGACCAGGAACATTCGCTGAGAATGAATCGAACGAGGTTCACTTCAAAGAGATTCCGTTAGTTGAATTTTCTAGGTTTTCTCAAGGTTACCCTATGTGTATCCGTGTTTAACACACATCCACTTGACTATAACATGCATTCTTTTCTTTTTTTAGTTGGGTTCCTCTTATTAATTGGTTTGTAAAATTGAATAATCTTTTGAACCAATTGAAATTTTTTAGGTTTCAGAAAAATATTTATTAGAATAGAGGGATTTCTCTAGTATTTACATTATTGTACAATATCTGTGTTTAAATTTATATTCATTGTCCATTTTTTGAAAAGGAAATGCAAAATTTTAGGTCGCACGTCCTGCAGAAAGTTTGTCAATATTTCGCGTATAAAGTGCGATACACGAACAGTACAACGGAAATTCCTGAATTCTCGATCGCTCCAGAGGTAGCACTTGAACTTTTAATGGCTGCGAATTTCCTCGATTGCTGAATTTGCATCTGAACGTTTTTAGCGAAACATATATCGTTCAAAAAAGGTACAGCAAAGCTCCGATCATGAAACTGTTTTGTCTCGCATTTTTTTTCACAAATCGCCAAATAATTGAAATATTTAAATTATTATTCATCGACCCATAAATCGCTTTTTTTTCCTTCTTCTTTCTTTTTTCTTTCTTTTTCTTTCTTTCTTTATTTTTTCGTTTTCTAAATTGTGGAACCAATCTTATTTATAGCAACTTATAACATTGCCATACTTTTAAAATAAATTCTTTTCTTTATCCACTGATAAATTAGTGGCGATAAGAAGAGAAAATATATCTTAGCAGACATCTAATGCATCTATCAACTTAATATATTCTTAAATTTATAAAAAATTCTCATCTTTTAAATCATAATATTATAGAAATTAATTAAAAATAATAATATATATTTTCTTATAAGAGATAAATTGCTTTAATTCATACTGACAAACGCGTTAATTTTATTAATTGTCCACAAAAACAGCGAAAGGCCAATTTGTTTTATGCTGAAAACAAAAAGAAATATGAAGTTAAACGCCAATCATAATAAATTAAAAATTTGTATTCAACAAAGCAAACATTTGTTTGATACAAAAACATAAGAATGCAATAAGTCACATAACATAAGCATGGACTGGAATATAAAATATTTAACTTCATCATTTAAAAAAATAAAAAAATTGGAAATTTCCTAAACAAAAAAACAAAAATCAAAAAAATTTTTTAAAGAAATCGTCAATTATAAAAATGACAAGAAAATGAGAATCTTTTTTTAATTAAGATGGATAATTTAACACTGCATCATGTGACTGCTAGCAACAAAAAGAAAATAATAAAAAGCGAGAAATGAATATAAAAGTAAAACAAAATAAAAATTTCGAAATTTAACTACTGAAAAAGCATTCAGTGAATGTAAAATAAGATCGTTTTGAGACTGGAAGACACGGATCGAGCCGGGATAACGAGGAAATAATCAAATTGGCATAATATAACATCCATTTTTTTCATATGAAGGCCACTAAACTGATTCAGTTCAATGATCCAACCATAGCAAATAAAAAACCCACCCCATTACTGACCGAGTAACACTGCAAAATTTATCAAAGGAATGGAATAAATTTAGCGGCAAAAGAATTCAATTTAGTATCCCAATCCAGAAAGATATTTTGCAAGATCTTCCACAGCAACACGAGCTTCTGAGCCGGCAGCAGTATCTCCTTCATAACAAGCAATAAGAACAGCTGCAATATTAGATTTTACTTTTAAGAAAAATCGAAACATCTATTAAAAAATGACCCATCTTCTGCGAAATTTTTTCATTACTGAAATAGTTACTGAAATAGCTTGTTTTTTTAATTTGCAAATTTTTTGCAAAATTAATCTTAATTAATCTTATTCATAATGTTACGTACCTGACTTTGTTTTAGCTGCAAAGATACCGGTTTTATCTCGTTTACCAAAAATTAGATTATCTTCTGACCGAGGTACGATATAATGAATACCTGAAAATAATATTGTGAATCATTAAAAAATTAAAGAGAATTAAAAAATTAAACGACAAAAAAATTTGGAAAGCAGTCCTTTTCATCCAAATCATTTACTTTATGCTTTAAAAGTCCAGGGGAATAAATTAATTAATACATTACATATGTATATAAAATTTATCCAGTTCTTTTGTGCAATTTTTACATATTCACAAATTCGCAAAAGCCTCATCATTAAAATTTGTGAGACTCAAGTACATTCATCCTCTCCTCGCTCTAAATTTGCGCCTCAATTAATATTTTACGGAATATAAGAAAAAAAACCCACAATTAGAAAGAATATGAGTCCATATGACGAGGAAGAATGGCAATCAATACTAAAAACACCATGAAAGTGGACCTAAGTTTCAATTTTCGGTGAGTTTTTTTGGGAATTTCAGTGGCTTTTAAATAAAGATTCGTCGCTATTTACTGACGCTAGTTAATACTCGATATATTTTACTATATATATCACTTTATAAATGTATTACTTACATCAATATAAAATATTTAAATATGACTAAACTGTTATTTCAGAAAATTAAAATTGGTGGAAACCATAAAATCTAAAATAATGAATAATAATAAATAATGAATAATAAATAATAAAAAAATTAATGAAAAATTTAGGAAACTAACCTTCCAAATCACATCCTACTGAGGGCACTTTCTCGATATTATCATAAAGGCTGACAAATTTTTTTAGCTCACTATCTGTTGCCTGAAAAAAATAAAATAAAACCGATATATAAATTATATTAACGTCTATAAAAAATTATTACTCAATGAATATATGATCAATAAAAAATTGTTCAAATAATGTTACAATGCAGGTTTCATCTCTTCCCTCTATCGTTCAGCAAATCCAAAATGGATATATTTGGAAAAATAAAATTAAAGAACATATGGATGCTCATGACATTCTCGCTGTTCTTTCACCTTTAAACCATTAAGTATAGCAAATAAAAAAATTAACTGAGAAAAGATCATTTATCCTTTTAGCTAAAAAACATAAAACTAATTAGGTCTTAACGGAATATTAAATCAAAGGAATAAAAATTTAAAAAACGCATAAAATAAAATAAAGAGATCGAAAGACGGTTTAAAAAGATTTACTTTAAATTCGCCAGATCCTTCAGACCTTGCCCATACTGCACCATCTGGATAGCCAATTATTGCCGCTCGTCGAATGCTACTGCTTGCTGAGAGCAAATTCTTTATATAAGCATCCCAGCCGGACATCGATGAATATTTTTTCTGCAAAGATTTCATTGCATTATTTTCCGTATTATTTAAAGGTGCGAAAAACGCATAATGAGCAAAAAATAAATATGCACCACTAACTTGAAAAAATTATATCATAGAATCATGAAAAACTACGTCCAAATCATAGAAATATGGAAATATTTCAGCAAAACAAGAATATTAAATTAAGCTAATAATTAGGTTAATATTAATATTTAAAAATTAAAATATCTCTTTCTCTTCTTCATCTCAACAAAAGTAAAATTCCTGGCACAACAGTCTATGAAAATGAAACCATTTCGCCGAAGAATGACTTGGGAATAAAAATAATTGTTCGGACTTTCAAGCCTAGAACAATTCAGATTTCACTTTTGATCGTAGATCGCCCCCATCTCTTTCGAGAATGAGTAATCAAAACCCCAGCAGAAATAATAATCGACTACTGTGCCTCTATTCGCAAAATATATAAATAATAAACAATATTTTTTTTGAAAAAGGACAAAAATTTTCATTCAATTCAGTAATTACCGAAATCGAAAACCACCTATATTAATAATCAAAAAAAAAAAATTCGTCACATTACTTTGCCTTCAGCTGCCTCGTTCAAGAACGAATACACAATCCATATTTTTTTCTTTTTCTATCGACTACACAATAAGAAACAAAATATTAAAAAAACCAAAAGAGAGAAATCAATTCATGTATTAAAAATCGATCGAAGCAACAAAACGACAGCGCCCACCAACCTGGCCGAAGATTAGCACCATCATTAACTGAATAGTTTGATGGACCAGCACAAAATAATTTCCGAAATCATTTTACGTCCAAGTGTTGGGCATTAAATTACTAAAATATTTATGAAAAAGGAATAAGCGTGATTCCAAAATCAGACTCCAAGCAAATGACTAAAACAATTGCGACAATTTTGTCTGCGATCACAAAAACAATTATGACCAATCCAACAGATTCAGAAGCCGCTGAGAAAAGGCAACATACGAAAATGTCAAGGACGGTAATCAACATCAAATAAATTATGGTATTATATTTACGTAATTCCTTCATTTCACACGGCAAATATTCGTATTCATAGTGCTTCATACAACTAAATATTCCATTGGTGACTAGAGAAATTCGCTAAATTTCATTTTTCCTCGAGACAATATTGGTACCTTCAAGATTCTCCAATTCGAATTATTGCGTCTATGCTCATCTTTCAAAAATTCGATAAATAAATTTCATTATAGGAATTTTTTGAAAAATTTGTTTAAATTCTTCAATCTCTAAACTTTAATTATTTAAGAAAAACTGCAAAATTTTCCAAATTTAAATACATTAATTAATACAATAAATTAATTTAATTAGAATTCGAATACAATTTAAAATGCAATATTTTAAGTACATAAATACATTCTTAAATTCATTCTTAAGCCTAAGTTCATTCTAAAACATTTAATTAAGGGACCACAATCCCAATTAAGCCGGAGAAAGTTCAGCAAACCACGCACCCCTCCCCCCTCATGAACCACCAAACTAATTAAGGAATCACAATCGCAACTAAAGCGAAGAAAGTTCATCAAACCACGCAACCCCTCCCCTCTCTCCCCGTGAACCACCAAACCCTTCTAAATTACTAGCACACATCAACAGACCATAAATTTTCCCTTTCCCTTCCAAAGCAATCACCGCAAAATTCCAGCTGAGTATCGCAATGTTATACGAGTTGATGCTCAATCGAAGCTGATATACGATACTTGGCGGGAATTCGAATAGCCATTTCTGTGAGCGATTTTAATAAGCATTGTCACAGCCATATATTGCTATGGGTGACGCGACGACAACAATCGCATCGCGGTGGCCATAACTCCGCCCATCGTGTTTTTCCATTCTTGGTTATTTATTGATTAGCATTCATCACTCTTCGTTCGGCTCGGTCAGCGGACTATTGTCCTGGGGCAATTTTCTGATTCAGCTGTTAAAGCGGGGAGGGGAGGGGGTTACTGGAACTTTGGCACTGCTCCGGGGGACGGACAAGTATCCTTGGCCCCGACCCATGTTTATTTGAAATTTTGGCGAATATGCAGAAAGAAATTTAGGAAGACGTTAGAATTTAGTTAAAATATAAATTCGTATTTAAAAGGATTTTAAAAATAAATCTATAAAAATGGAAAGTAAATTATGAAAATGCTTTCGATTATCTTCCAATTTTTACGATTTTACGAATTATTTAGTTGGGAAATTTTTTTTTATGAGTCCTCACCATTACTGGTAAAACTCGCTCCACTGGCTTGTCGCATTGGACAATATGCCAGGGAGTCTCTTGGCGATAGAAATACAGGTGAGTCGCAGCACCACCAGGATTTTTACTGCTTCGGGGAATCGAACCTCGGCATCGGCGCTTTCAATGGAGCAAAAACCCACTGAGCCATCCTATTCCCTACTTGCGAAACTATTAATTAATCAATATTAATATATTCTATTTTCCAAAAGAAATTTTTATAAAATTTTCACGAAATAAAAATAAATATTTTGTACTTACATTTTATAGGAAAAGAATTAAATTTATTCCTCAGTTCTTCTTATTTTCCATTTTTGAAAAATTCTTCGAATTTATTTCGAAATAATTTGATAATAAATGATTTAAAAGTGGAAACCGAAAGTGGCAGCCTTCAAAACATACTTTACAATAAAATTATGAAGACGCGCCAGTCGGTGCTGGTGGTGGTGGTGCTTATTGCTTCGGCTGAAGGTATCTTGGGAGTTGGAATCCGTTCGCTTGAAGAGAGAAGTGGAGTGCCACTAGGAGTTCACCGCACTGTCTCTGTCGCCAGGTGGGACGACGTCGACCGATGAAGTACCAAAATATGAAATCAAATGGTTCGTGCAATGCGATGATTTAAAAATTGTTTTATAAAAATTATTACTGTAAATAAAGAACGAAAATCCAAAATGTATTGCGATAAATAAAAATGAATTGAACGTATCAGCGAATAAATTATTTCGATTTTAGTGTTGTTAGTTTTAGCTTTAAAAAAAAAATTTTTCCCGAATGAAATTTGATAGAATTGTTTCATCAAAAAAAAAAAAAAGATAAAAAAAATGATAAAAAATGATAAAAAACTTTTTGGGTTTTCTTTTTCCAGTAATTACAATTCCATTTAAATTTTTAAATTTGAATTTTGGAAAAAAAATTTGGAAAAAATTTTCTTATTTTCTGATTGTCGTCGAAATATAAATGCGAAATTCTTGGGATGAACGCTGAAATTAGTAAGAAAAGTGAATAAATTGCTGAATGTTTCTTGTTCGACTCGGTTTCCATTGCCTGTTAAAGCTTTAGGTACCACGAGGTTGCTTGGGTGATTGGTTTGGTTAAAGTCCGGTCGACTCCGTAAAAATTCTGCAATCCTCTGAGGCTTGGCATCGGATCGTCTGAGGCATGGACACGCTTAACGGCGAGAAGCGGTGGAAAAGGTTAAAGGTTTAATGGTGCAATAAGGTTTGTAGTTTCAGAGGTGACTATAAGATGGATATAATAACTGAATTATAAAAAGTCCAATTCAATTCAGAATATAAATAAATTAATAAATAAATAAACATAAATTTGAAATATGTAATGAATAACGAAATTATAAAACTAACTACCCGGTCGCTAAAAAAATTTTTATTTTTCTTATATATTCCTAACCGAATCGCTTAAATTTAGGTGCAAATATAAGGTGAACTGATGGCTAAAAGTGGAACTTGCTGATAATGGCCCAGTTACAGCCTAGCGAACGGATCTCGTTCTAATCATTGATAAAACCAGTCAAATGGTTTTCAGAAGATAAAAATTGCCTGGGCCCAGTAATATTCACCAGGCTGAGGCGATACAATGAACGATCCAAGTCGAAATGAAAGACAAAACATAATGGCTAAATACGACTGAAATATGACGGCAATGACATTTGCGTAAATAATTCGCAAACTTGCCAATCATTTTCCAATATTCGTTTATTCATTGTATCGCTGAATCAAATATATTTTCACTTTTATTAATATAATTTTAATAAAAAATTTTTTAGATAATTATGCTATTCAACGAAAAAATTCTGTCGATGAAACACTGGGAAAAAAGGCGAAAATATAAAAAGCATTCCGTAGCACTAAAATGCATTACACTGACTGCTAACAATGATACGAGAGAATTGATTTATGCGAATAAAAAATGCTCTAAAATTTTATATGAATTGTTTAAATTAACTAAATTTTGCCTATAATTGGCTTGGAAGAAGAATAGAAAAAAATCTCTTCTTTCTGGTGGTACGCACCAATTCTGGTTTTGGCCGTCTTCATTGGCTATTAAGCAAATAAAACGCTATCATCAGGGAGTCACTTGGAGGTAGGAAAATATTGATGGATACCACCGAATTATTTCATTTTTAATAGCAGCCTTATCGTCGTTGAAGAACAGGAAAAGAACCGGTTGGCAAATAGATTAAAATCGGAATAAGCCGGTGGGAAAATGGACGAAAGTCGGAAACAAGCCGGGCCGGGCCGGGCCGGGACGGATTCGCATTGCAAAACTCGAAATGCCTCGAAAGCACACGAGCGATGATAATTCATAAAATAACGGGAATGAACTTCCACTCAAAAATTTTATGAGACGAAGACGAAGTACATAAAACTGGATATCCAACTAATAATACCAATTTCATTCAAAAAAAAAAACTGCTTAAAACTAGCAAAAATCAATTGTGCACTGCGAACAAAGCAGTGCTCGAATAACAAAGTTTTTCAAAAATTTGCTGAAAATTCGTTTTCGTTCATTTAATCTCTTTCTTATAGCACTTTTTCTTTCCTATAAGACAAGAAAAATAATTTTCCAACGAAAAAAAAATTTTGAAAAAATTTTTTTTACGAATCTTTTTAAAAAATTTGTTGAAAAAAATTTAAAATGCCACAAGCAATTAAGTTTTTTTATTGCTTTTAGACAAAAGCAATTAATCAGTGATAATGAAAAT